TGACTCGAGAGACGCAGTCAGTTGTCGGGGGTCTAAAAAGTCATACTGCACCCCATAGCCTGTGACACACAACAAGACAGATGTTACAGGAGGGACTGTCAAGGCAATCAGCAGAGCAGAATGGCTTATCAATTCTATTTATGATTTCTGAACAAGCAAACTAAAAATCACTGCATCCAGTAATTAGTTTTGCTTCCTATTTCCTTTGTTTTGCTATGCTCTAAACAAAACCTGCTTTTCATTAACTAGCAAATAAATATGACCAGTAGATTCAAAACAATTCAGCCCCCTCACCTGGCTGTAACATCTTGGCTTTTTCCAAGCCTGGGACAGATTTGATCACCTGCTCCTGGAGCTCAGGTGGCAGTGTCATGGACATGCCTTGGGGGTAAATGACGTTGGAATCCAAGCCTTCGGGCTCCAGCCACACCTGATGTTCTCGATCGGGGAAGCGCAGAACTTTTGATTCAAGAGAGGGACAGTACCTGTAACAGTAAACAGCCATGAGCAGCACCTGACAGGGAGAAAAAGTTACTTTCCAGAAGCAAAGCAGGAAAGACCCACAGCTCCAAAGAGACTTCCAACCTGTCCCCTTGACAGCCTTGCATGACGCCACACACTCACCGTGGGCCTCTGGTTGTCTCCCTGACGTGGTTGTTCAGGTGGAGGTTATCGCGGATAATTTGCTGGGCCTTCAGGTTCGTGCGAGTCAGGTAACAGGACAGCTGATCTTCTGGCTAGAACAAGCCAAAGCTCGGCCTAAGTTAATCTGGTCACCACACTGTATCCTTACTAAATAACTCTGATATCTCCAAGACCTTTCCCGTGATGGGCGGCTCTCACTTCTGGGAGAGCTCAGCAGGGCTGTCAAACCCACTGTACAGACCAAACACAAGCAATGTGAGAGCCTGAGCAACATGCCCAAAACCAGACTGAGAACAGGATGGAATCTGGGAGTCTGGAATTCAAGTTCTATCCTACATGCTGTATTCCTAATTACAGGACGGCTATTCCCATTAAATCAACATGTTACATCACAGCATTCAAACTAATCACAGGGAAAAAAAAGCTCTGGAGTTGGAAGAATAAGTGCTGACCCTACAGCTAACAACCAATTAATGGGTTTGGTGAAGCAAAAAAATCTTGGAGAGATAAAAACCTCAAAACTCTGCAATCAACATGAAAAATTCAAAGTTTGGAAAAAAAACTCATGTGAAGTAAAATATTCCATTGATTTTTCTGAAAGAGTCAATAGACTTACATTCAAAATAGCCATAATGTAGCACCATAACTCTTTAAAACTGCCACTGACATACTAGTTAGCCAAAAGTCATGTGATTTTAAGAGGCTTTGATTTAAATCTGTGTTGGCTGAGTGTCAGTACAAAACCCTGAGAAATCATCTTGCTGCAGTTGCAGAAAGGAACTACATGGACCCATAACCCTTATAGACCTTAATCAACAGCTGAAGATCAAAATTTAATAAAGAATTGGTTAATGGTTACCATATAACTTGAGATGAATTTCATGCCATAGAGCAAGAAAGCTACCTTCAAAAAGTTGAGTCAAAAGCCTGTACACCCCAGAAAACTTCATCAATAGTAACCAGAACTGCAAATTTAATAAAAGTACTGTTTAGCTGGATAAAACCTGGGTTATCCATTAAAAAAAAAGACAGATGGGATGTTCTGGTAGTAATAAAAGAAACAGAACACCTATTCCATGACAATAAATTGGGCAGACTTCTGGGAGCGTCTATAAAAAATCCTGCATGTTATAGCATATACACATGTCTGACAATTATTGTTTCTTTCAACATGTTTATGGAGAATAAATTCCTGATATGTTCTCAATTATTACTCAAAATTGTTATTAGGAAAGTTTGTCTAAAAGTTTTTTGCTGTTAGATTTAAAACTCTTTGTTTGAAAACCTCTCCTACATATACCAAGGCCTTCGAGTGATACTACTTTTGCCCCATCCTGAAAGGTTATTTCAATTCCTATATCCTAAGGTTATTTCCTAATAATTTGCCCTGGGGCAAATTACCTCCTGATTAACAGCACTTAACTCTGTGCTGTTTAAGTACATTATACAAAAACAGCCAATGTTCCAAGATTTTCTTCAGAAAATTGAACTTCTGCTTTTAAGTTACAGTTAACTTGCCACCTCTCAGGTCTGTGGAAAAATCCATCCTTTCTCTTTCCTAGTCAATACTACAAATTATCTCTAACTTCAACATTTTAACCTTATGAAGCCAGACATTGTGAATCTCCACAATACAGGCATAAAACTGGAAGATTTTGTAAAACCAGCCATGTAACCAGCACATGGAGAGTACTAGCAGCAGTATCACATTTCACAATACTCTGACTCCACAAGTAAACAAAGTTTAGTTCTCAAGCTGAGAAGTGAGAGTGAAAAGGTATTTGCTGTCAAACAAACACGAGTAACTTCTGCCTCGCATTGAGAGTCCTCAAAAACGTAACACCTCCAGTACCAATACATCCCAGCTGCCTTTCCCAGCCACTAACTCCCTGGCTGATGATGAGCACAACAGTCCCAGAACCACTTCCCACCCGGCTCTGTGTGCGCCTGATGGGTGGGATTTGCTCTCTCACCTTGATCCACACGGCCTCGCTGAGGAAGCTGAACGGCACTGGAGGGTTGTCAGCTGCACGTTCCTCCAGACCACTGAAGTCAATCGTATCCTTGGCAAGCCGGGGCGGTGTCCCAGTCTTCAGCCTGCCCACAGCAAATCCCAGTTTCTCCAGAGTGTGAGCCAGCCCGATGGCTGGCTGGTCTCCCAGCCGCCCTGCCGGGTGCATCTCCAGGCCGATGTGGATCATACCCCTCAGAAACGTGCCGGTGGTCAGGATAACACTCCCAGCATGTACTGCGCTCCCATCCCCTGGAACAGCAAGTTTTCAGAGATGTTCACATTTTAGTAGCAACAAAACCCCAGAATTCTGGTGTTTCTGTCTAAAAGTAAACTACCAGTGTTCACTGGGGGTTTATCTGTCTTCTATTATAAAATAACACCAGGTTCTCCATAATAAAAGAATCAACAGCAGTAACTACAATAAGCAATATGTAGTTATTTCTGTGTATTTATCTAAGCAAGTTACTCCTAAAAAAGAAAACCACTCCTGACAAAAATCTATATCCAGGCCTTTACTTCAGAAACCTTGTTTATTATAACAGCAAGGGGTAATGAAGTACAAGCCTGTTATTAAGAGGACCCCACGATCCTGTAACACTGAGGGCAGCATATACCACTTACCACATTTAACACAGCATGGAATTTAGTATCACCAGCCTGAAGAAAATTAACATAGTTAATGTCCCAGTATACTAGCAATCCAGGTATTTTTGACATTGTATTACTTTATATTATACATATTAACCTGGTTTATTTCACACTTACCTAAACTAGCTCTATTAGCTAATTAATCTTTCTCATTAATGAATTAGAATAGGATAAATTCATCTTTTTCATTGGTGAGTCAGAAGTATTTGCCCCAAAGGCTTGCTCTTAATGTGGAATAACTGGAGGCACTTAGTGAGTTACTAGCACATACCCAGAACAACTCCTGCGACTTGGCATTTCCCAGGACGGCCTGGTTCCGGCTCTGTCAAGAGAAGATCCTCCACAGACGCCTCACGAACTGTCAACAGTGGTGTGTTAAGGATTTCTTTCTGTCATGAAAGGAGTTACTGCAAAAATCTAGGAAGTTATGAGACATATGGGCAATCCCAAACCCTGCTGATTTCTGAAACATCTATTACCCACTTCCATTCTTACCAGGTCATTTGGCAGGCACTCAGTTATCCTGATTTATCAGGTAGAAGTTTTCACTCACATAAAGTTTAAGCTCAAGTAAACTAATTGGTCATGAAGCCTGACCTGTATCTAAAACACTAGAGAATTTTTCAAACTGTGCTAAGCTCCAACAACTTACACTGCATCAAAGTACCAAAGAGAAAGGTATCTAGGTTTGACCGGTAAATAATGAAAAACAAAACATAGCCCCTTCCTTCGTAATCCTCAGTCGCGTATCCCGACTCCCCAGCCCCAGGATTCCGCCCGGCGCGGCCCCCTCACCTGCATGTTCTCCTTGTAGAGGCCGCGGTCGATCTGCGCGCGGAGGCCCCACACGGCCGGGCCCTTGCAGCGGTTCAGCACCTTGTAGTGAACGCCCGAGCGGTCGCACACGCGGCCGCACAGCCCGTCCAGGGCGTCCACCTCCCGCATCAGGTGCCCCTTCCCGATGCCGCCGAAGGACGGGTTGCAGGACATTTCCCCTGGGTAATGACACAGGAACACCCTCGGCACCGCGCAAAAGCTTCCGCGACCGCCCCGGCTCAGCGCCGCTCCCCACGCCGCGGAGACCCGAGGCGCCCTGGGTAGCTTCCCCCGCCCACCCGGGGACCCGCGGCGGTACCGATGGTGCCGATCCTGTGAGTGAGCAGCAGCGTGCAGGCCCCGCCGCGAGCGGCCGCCGCCGCCGCCTCCGTGCCCGCATGGCCCCCGCCGATCACCACCACCTCGTAGCGCGGCGCTGCCGCCGCCCCGACTTCGCTGCCCGCCCGGCGGTGCCCGGGGCGAGGCGCCGGGGGCAGCGGCAGGCGGCGGCAGCCGCTCCGCAGGAACATGGCGGCTGGGCCGGCCCTCCCGGCAGCGGGAGCGGGAGCGCCGCCGAGGCTCCTCCGCCCCGGAGCGAGAGGCTGGGCCCGCGGGCCGAGCGCCTGCCCGCGGCCCTGGGAGCCGGGCAGTGCCGGTGCTCACGTGTCCTCGCCCCGCGGGCCCGCCCAGGCGGGAAAACGCTCCCCGCGGATTGGAGGGAGGCGGCAGCTTGGTTGCTGCTCCCGGAGCTATCCTGTGCCCTTGCTGAAGTTGGCGGCATCGGGCAGCGCCTCGCTCCCGCCCCGCTCGCCGGGTTTCGTTTCCTAGGGGAGGCGCGCCTCCTGGAAGAGGAACTCGCCTGAAGCCAGAGGCGGGAACCCCGTTGCTCGCGGGGCCGCGCTCGCCGTGTTGCGGGCGCGGAGAGGGAGCAGCGGCCATGGACACCGCGGGTGGCAGAGGGGCGCGGCCCCGGCGGGGGACGCGTTCCGGAGCTCCGCGAGGCCGGGGCAAGCAGAAGGGCGCAGCCCGGAGCCCCTCGCGGGGCCGCGGCGCGGGTGAAGGCTCGAGCGCCGTCGCGACCCTCCGGACACCGCGGACGGACGGAGCCCCTGCCCGGGGCGGCCGCTCGGCGCGGCGAGCCCCCGCTGCCCGGGAGCTGCCAGCGGGCACGGCGGCGGGCGGCGCAGAGGCGCTCCCCACCCCGCGGAGCGTCGCTGCGGTGCCCGACGGGGCGGTCGCTGCTGCTGCCGCCCGTCGCCCCCCGCCGGCGTCGGACGCCTTGCGGCTCCGAGAGGTGCTGTCGCGGCTCAGCCTGCCCCGCGAAGACGTGTCCGAGGCTTCGAAACTGGTGAAGAAGGTGGTCCCGCACCTGGTCCAGGCCATCCGCGGCAAGGACAGCTGCTTCAGCTCCATCGAGCAGCAGAGCGCCGGCAGCTACTACGAGCGTGTCAAGGTGGGTGCCGGGGCTGCAGGCGGGAATACGGGCCGGCCGCGCGAGAGCCGCTCCTAGCTGGCCTTTCCCGCCGAGTCACGGCCCTGTGGATGTAACGACATCTCTAAGGAGGGCTCTGTGAAGTAACCACAGTGCATTATAAAATGATCAGTAACCTGCTGAATGGTGTTACGTGAGTCAGAGACGCTACCTGAACGGGACGCGTTCAGGCTGCAGCAAGCCTTGCCCCGGCACAGCACGCAGGTGAGCCCGGTGTAACAACGCCATCAGTCAGGTGTAGCACTGCACGAAAAGCCCTGGGCAAGGTTTTAGTTCACAGTTTTTTCAAAAAGCAGGAGTTACGGATGCAAATTGAAAGAAGAAAAATTCAGATTAGATATTAGAAAGAATTTTTTTACCGAGGGTGAGGGAGGGTGCTGGGACAGTGGTACAGAGTGCCTGAGGAGATTGTGGATGCTCCAAACCTGGCAGGGAAGTGAAGGCCAGGTTGGATAAGGCCTTGAGCAACCTGGTCCAGTGGAATGTATCCCTGCCTAGGGCACGGTGGGTCAAGACTAGGTTTATCTTTAAGGTCCATTCCAACGCTTTCACCTTCTGTGATTAACCAGTACCTTTTTTCCTTGTTCCAGTAGACTGAAACTAAGTCAAACATGGGGACACTTTTTTTTTCTATCAAAAGCTAGCTTCAGACCTACCGTGCATTTTTTCCTCACATCCTGAGTGCAAGAGGATGTCTGAGTATATTTATGTATTAATTATTCAGAACAGCTCAAGAATCTTAAAACTATCTTACAAAATTAATAAGTTGGAGAGCTGAGAAGTGAGCTGCAAATTGCTGTTTTCCACCCGAATGCACAGTAATCTTGCAGTACCACAGAAATAAGCTCATATTTCACATCAGGCATGATTAGTACGCTAAGGTAGATGAAACCACAAGTGGTATAAAAATCTCAGGAGAATAAAACCTAAGTTGCACATTGACTGTTGTATTCTTGTATTTGCAGATATCTGAACCAAATGAGTTTGATATCATGCTTGTAATGCCTGTTACAAGGATTCAGCTGGATGAGTCTGATGATACTGGAGCCTATTATTATGTATCATTCAAAAGAAGTCCAAAAGAAAAGGGTTGGTTGAAGTTTTTAGAGGAAGATGGAAAATTATCAGCCTTTAAAATGCTTCAAGCATTAAGAGACATTATTAAACAGGAAGTAAAGAACATTAAAGGTTGGTACTGAGAGAATAAGCTTTATCAGGAAGAGGTAAAAACCCAGTTACATTGTGCATATGTACTGCCCCAGTGTTAAGAAGATACATTTTCCTGCCAGTCCTCTGTCTCTTTGTGCCAACAGAGCTGTAACCACTCCCGTCCCCAGTATCTCAAGCTGGCTCTTGTGTTAAGAATCACAAATACACATAATGTAACAAGTTACCTATTAACTCCACTATGCATATTTTCTGTATGGGGACACTAAAGGTTAATAAAAAATAAATAATTTTTATGGAAAAAATAAACCCATTAAGGGTTCTGTTGCATGCTTGCTATTTCCTACATGACCTATACACCTTGTGTCTATCTGGAGTATACAAAGAGCCATTTGCTGAAGTCGTAGCAAAACAAACAGCTTTATTTTATACAGTACCTAATATTTTTTATTGATCAGTACAGAAACTGCATCCCAGTTATTTTTATAATTATTTAAAATATCTTATATATATATGTAATATAATTATATTAAAATTACCTCAGTTAGGTTTATTTTTTCCCAAAGCCTTCAGAAACATTGTGGCCAGATCTCTTCACTGTGTGTTTTCAACAGGGAAGCAATTCAATGAAAAACATTATTATATTTTTAATTCTTAGACAGTAAATCAAGCAAACACAGTAGTGTTCCCTGTTTCATAGAACTCTTCAACAGACCTTCTCAATGTTTCAACATCCTGTAGGATAAAGAGCCATTGACTGAACCCAGGTATTTCTTTTGATTGCTTGTGAACTCTTTAGTAAAAACTGTAACATTCTTAAAAAAAAAAAAGTTTTCATCTTACTAATCTATCTATCTATCTAGCTATCTAGCTCTCTCTAACATGAAATATCACTTTCTTTGTTACTAGGTGTGGAAGTCACTGTGGCAAGGAAAAAGGCTGGAAGCCCTGCAATAACTCTTCAGATCAAAAATCCTCCATCAGAAATATCAGTGGACATCATCTTGACTTTGGAGGCTCAGCAGAGCTGGCCCCCCAGCACACGGGCTGGCCTCAAAATTGAACAGTGGCTGGGAAGAAAAAAGAGGAGGGATTTCAGATTTAGATCAATTTATTTAGTAGCCAAGCAAAACAAAAGAGAAAAAGTTCTAAGAGGTACCTCAAATATGGATAATAAGTCATGAAATACCTTCTCTGAACTTGATCACTTACAAGTGCTATAGAAAGGGTATCCAGATCTTGTTCAGTATTCAGTCTTCAACACACCTCATCCTGGATATATTCAGCTCAGACAACTGAAATCCCTCTTTAAAGCATCAGATTTGTGGTACTGCCTGTCCTGTACTGAATTGTAAATACAAACCCACTCTGCCAGGCTGTACACTAACCATTACTAAGAGCATTATATTAAATCCACTCCAGCCAGACACAGGGATATGAGCCTTCCCTTGTGCTAGTAGTGTGCTTAACAGCAGCTTGCACTCTCTCTTGTAAGGAAATTAGAAGAAAGTTGCTAAAAATGCAGGGAACTTACCCATACACGAGACTGCATCCACAAATCAGATACTTCTGCAGGAAGCAAACTGTTTTCTATCAAGATACATTATTTCTCACTGAACTCTGGTATGGCTACAACATTTTTTCCTACAGACCACTGTCACACTGAGCCTCCCTTAGTTTGCAGAAACATTCTGACTTGTCAGTGCATTATGGTAACTGATCATTTCAGCAATAAGATTTCAAGCATTCTGGTACCTTTTTAATTAGCATTACCATGTTATCAAAGCCCAGTACAGAAGTACTGATTTATTTGGCAATTTCTTCCCTTGAAAATTAAATGCAAAGAGTAACTGAGCCAAACAGGCAAGGAAAACAGCATAATTCATGAAAAGAAGACAAAAGTGATTGTTAGTATTAGAAACAATGCATTGAGCTATATTAGCAATTATTTTCAGAAGCATGAACAGAAGAAAAAAAAAGAAATGGTTTAGAACACTCATCTTACACGAGACAAACTCACAAACCTATTACTTCCACAAAGAAAACCCAGAAAACACAGTAAGAGAACAGAAATTAAAAGGCTGTAGATTTCTATGAATAATGCAGTTCTCTAAATCATGTCCAGCAAATCCAGGGACATTCAGAACTGAGCCTAATTTTAAAGTAAATCCAAACATCCTTAGGAATTTTAAGCAGCCAAACAATTATGTCCTATATTAATTACATTCTAATTGTCTTTGTGAAGCAGCTGGGGAGTTAAGGAGGAACTAACTGCACTCACTGAATTAGGATTTTTAGTGGGTGCAAAAAAATTGCAGGTCTTTAAGTCAATTACAAAATTGGGGCTTTTTTCCTAGCTACAAAAGCTGATGCTTAATGCTGTGTAACCAATTAACAGTCTTGTGCTTGACTTCAGGGAACACCTGGCGACTCTCCTTCTCACATATTGAAAAGGACATGATAAAATACCATGGCAACTCAAGGACATGCTGTGAATCTGATGGATTAAAGTGCTGTAGGTTGGTATTTCACAGGAATATTTTACTTTAAGTCTGTGTGAGCTGAGCCAGCACTAACACTGTTTCAGTTTAGCACTTAGGAATTTGATCTGACAGTATTTACTCATAATGGGAAGCAACAGTAATTCTTTTAGGCATAATTGTTTTACAGCACTGCAACACTGCATGTGCTTGCTGAAATTCTGACTTGCATTTACCTAATGAAAGGTGGAAATAATCACATTGCTGGTTTACACTCCATATTTGCCTTCAAATGCAAAAAGATGCGACTTGTTCAATTACCTTCCCCAAATTCAGTCCTGTTTAGAATAAAAAGCTTTAAAAAGTGACCGATTCCACTTTCTGAGAAAAAATTGCACTTCATATCAAGGCAATTTCTAAAATGATGGTGAGAAAACTGCTGAATGAGATCAAGATGAATAAATGATTTTTCACTTCTATGAGAACTGTTTTCCAGATTTCTTCATCAAGGAAGAACAAAACCAATATGAGGTACAAAACCTCCTTAACAACTAAACCAAGAAGTTAGTTTGCCAATTACATCTTGTACTGAATCAAGAAAGCAACAAGAAAATTAATGCATAATTGTGTTTAAATATCTGATCTACATATTTAGAACTATGGAGAAGGTACCTAATTTTTTTTTTTTTTTTTTACAGGAAAGGTTGTCTTAAGCTGCTGAAGTTTCTTCTAGAGCAACTTAAAATGAAATATCCAAAGGAATTGGAAAAATTCTGTTCCTATCATGTCAAAACTGCTTTTCTCCACTCCTGTGTCATGTGGCCAAATGACACAGACTGGCACTTGGGAAACCTGGATCATTCCTTTCAGCAGTGTCTGGGATTTTTTGTGGACTGTCTACAAAAATCTCAGCTGACTCACTTTTTTATTCCCCAATACAACTTGCTCAGCCTAGAAGATAAAGCAAGACATCATTTCCTTTCAAGAAAAATAAGCCAAGAATTGAATAATGGATTCCCAGTATTTCATGAGAATTATTAAGAACATTGTTCACAGCAGATATCTAATCATGTTGACTTACATATTTGAAACAAAAAACTCTGCACCATAAACAACTCTTCAGTAGTCTGTACTACAAAACCCAAAAAACCCAAACCAAAATAAAATCCAAACCACTAAGAGAAAAATGTATACTTCAATCACACTGCTTGGCCATAACCCTTAAAAGAAATGTTTTAAGTAATATTTACCTTGCCTACCCAAATGTGGATGTCACCTGCAAAATATCTTCAAGGTATACTAAGAACATATAGAAGAATTTGCAATAGTTCATTTCCCACATGTAATTTCTATGTTTCCAAATACAAAGGCATGAATGACTGCATAAAGGGAAAACTGACAATTGTATTTAAAATTAAGATCCAGCGCAGAATATCCAAAATACACTCCTACTTTCAAAAGAAAAAAAAACCAAAAAACAGCCACTGGAGTTACTTTAACGTTAACCAGAACAACTTCTCCAGATTACCTGGGTGGATATGAAGATCTTTTGCAGAAGACAATCACCAGCAACAAGTACCAGAGAGAGAATATTTTATCTGAGTAATATGAAGTTCTTGAAGTAACTTATCCTTTGAGTCTTCAGAATTACTTTGGAAATCAATCTTTTCATTGGGCTTTGGATGGGAAACAATTGTTACCTAATATGCTGCAACAGAGTAAATGGTTTTCTGCCAATGAGCATTTATTTGTATGGTGAATAATGTAGAAAGAAATGCATCTTTCAACCTGTATCAAAGAGGAAGACTTGATATAAAAGGTTTTCAAAACCAAAATGCAGCATGAACTGAACACTCCTGAAACTGAAATTCATATAAATTTTTCTCATATTGAAGAAATGTGTGTTAGGAAAAAAAAATTATATTTCCTATTACTAAAACTGTGCAGGTGAGAAGTACACAGCATTTGAAAACTGCTGTACTGCAAATAAATCTTTTGCTTCTACTTATAGAACCTATGGGAAGTCCATATTTTTAGCCTACTTTTTGATGTCAAAATAACCTACTGGCTTGAATAATGCCCAGATTTACCTCAATGATGAGCAAATTAAGAGGAAAGAATAGAGACTAATTTTACTAAAATATTCTCATTTTACTGAATTTTGTTTATTCGTTTTTATTTAATCATATGACACATAAATAAACACCAAGTTCAGACCAAGCATCAAGTGAAGGAATAACTCCTTCCCATATAAATTTCAAAGAGTAGAAAACATGCCCCATTATCACTGGGAATCTGTGTGACAGAACCTGACATCCAAATGTAAAGTGTGAATCAATTTTATCTGGAAGAAATAAAAGCTGACCTTCAAATGTATTATTTTCTCCATGACTTTGTTAACATTGCTCTAGTAAATTCTGGTTTCACTCCTTAAGCTAGAATATTACATCCACAAAAACCAAAAGCAGGTTTTCTTCCCCAGTTAGTCACAAACAAGTACTTCCTGTCATGCTCCCCTCCATTACAAGAAAATGCAGACCTATCTCAAAAAATCTTGAGACAAGTCTTAACAAAAATGACTACCAATGTTAAGTTTTAAAATAAGAATAAACATAACTTGCTTCAGCAAACACAAGTAATGGCAAACAGAGCAGTTTTCATTATCCTGAGAAATCCTTCTGCATGCCAACAGCATATCAAGGCAAAGGTATTTGAAAAAGTATTGAAAAGGTAAGAAAAAAAGTAATTTGAAACTACATTGACAAACATTGCTTACAATGAATAATCTGGTTCTCTGAATATAAAAGGAAAAATTATCTTTTACATTCTTATATAGTAATATTGCATTTAACTAAAAAAAAACCCAAACCAACCAACAAAGCCACAATATTTGTTTTTCACCAGTAGATAATGGCTTTAGAAGTTTCATACATCACACAAGAAAGAAAAATTATGTGAAAATAGTATCCAAGTGCAAAACCAGATTTATTCCTATATAAAGTTAATCCAGTTTTCTAAGATGCTTTTGAGAAGTTTGTTTAAATAGGACAGGTACAGAAAACAATCAAACACAAAATGAAGCTAATAAATTCAAGCCCAAGGAAGCTAATACTAATTAAAATCACTTTCTCTGTTTCAGTAGCTTCAAGGGACTACACTTATTTTGAGGGCTTTCTCCAAGGTCTTTGTATATCCTTTTCAATTTCTTTTCTCATTTGTGATTGTTTGTATCTTTCTGCCATTGCAATAAGCTTGTCAGGAACTACCTATTAAGAAAGCAGGCAAAAAAACCAAGGTGAATTTTAAATAAATATAAACTTTCAGATTGCTTTATGAAAATGCTATTGATTTGTGTGTTCCCAAACTTGATTTCATTATTTATCTGACTCCTGTCGCTTTGCAGATTCTTTTCTTCAAAAATGCAGAGAGAAATCTTTCATAAGATTTCAGTACATAAGGTGTACTGAAATACACCAAAAAATAATGATCATAGTGTGTCTCAATTTTCAATAATATATCTATGCTTGTATCACCATAACCGATGGCAACATATAATTACTAACTACAACATTCTAGTTCAAACAGAAATGTATCTTTTAGTTCTAAGAAACAGCTGGTAAAAACATCCAGTGCCACTTAAAGGTGATATACTATATACACCTATTGAATGTTGATTTGTATGAAATTCCTTATGAAAGTTTTAAGACCCTCTCAAGAGAAACTTTGTGACTTAAAAGTGCTGTCATAGAAATGGTTATCACATGCTTAGAACAGAGCTAAAAGACAAGCAAAGAGGGGCAGGAGAAAATGGTCAAGTCTCCCACCACTGGGAGGTCGCAAGAGCACCTTACCAAGAGCCACAGGAGTTCTTGGCATGTTTGTAATTATGTGGAAAAGGTGAATAGTATCATCAAAACACTCTCACCCCAGAGTTCTTAACGACTGAGGCTAGAAGTGAAGAATTACAGACAGATTTCTTCGATGAGTGACAGTGATGAAAAAAAAACCCCAGATACCACTATTTTGCTCAAGAACAAAGGCAGTACCCAACAAGACTTAAACCAGGTTGGGCAAAATTTTGACATTAATGCAATGTTTACTGCAAAAAGCACAGCAGGCAACTGTACTGTCAAGAGGTCTCAGATCACTGATCTGTCAAAGCAGCCCACTTCAGCAATCTGCGATGGCATGTGGCCATCGGTGCAAGTCCTCTCCAGAATCAGTTTCCTGATCAGAGCATAGGGCACTGTGTGAACGTACTATTGATATGACTGCTCTGTCTGTGTCATTTGTGTCTGCCAGTGGCACAAATACAGTGCAAACAGCAGAGGACAAACAAATGTAAATCCCTTAAAGCCTCCCTAAATGTTCCTGGGCTTGGCAGTGCTCGAACAGGTGGAGAATGCAGCCAGGACAAAAGGTCTGGTGGAGCAGGAAGTCATATTCCTCTAGTTTCCATTTCTTTTGTCAGGCTTCATAATTGAGCAATGCTTGCCATTTGCTATCAGTAACTTTTGCTTGAGCTGGCATGAGGGACAGCTTGCTAGTATATGTCTTATGTGCTGTATTGCTCTTACTGGTAAGCAACTATCCTGGCAAAATATGACAACTCTGGAAGAGTCCATTCTGCCTAAGTTTCAAACATCATTTAAAAATAAAGTTAACGTATCTCTAGCTGAAAGGCACAACAGACTTATCAATGGAGATAGAAGTAATGAGACAAAGTTATTTTTCAGTTGAAACATGGCATGATTTTCTTCCTCAGTATCAAATCCTCCCCCTAGAGCTTGAAGCATAACTTATTCCAAACTAAAATCGCAAGAATTTCTTGCAAGAGTGATTTTTGAGCAAGCACAAGTCAAGAGTGGGAAGAAGTGAGGATATAGAAACAAAAATCTCAGTGAGGTAATATCCAGCATCTAGTGGCTTGTTGAAATTTTTCATTAACAATCTGTGTATCTGCTAAACATACAAGCTAGGGTAGGGTCATGCAAGTGAGAAAAGGATACAGATGCCATAATTTATATGGAATGCTTTTCTTGGTATCACAGATATTACTGTTTTTCCACCTGTTTTTCCAATAAATCTGTCCATGCTTATTAATAAGCATTTATATATAAAAGACTCCTTCAGCATGAAACAGACATCTTTTTGTTGTACTTGTTTTTTCTTTATGTATCTGTAGATTCAAAATCACAGAGAACTTTTGTTTGACTAACAAAAACAACTAACTTGTTTTGAAATCAAAGTATTCTGAGCCTTCAGTTCTCTCTTACATGATGCTTTAAGACTGAAGCAATGGTATTTTCATTTATAATGAGAAAAAACCCCAACACTTTGTCAGTAGGGGTACTTCCTTTCTATCAGACATAACTAAGTTTGAGAATGATGTTATGACTAATAGTAACTTCTGAAAGCAAGGATTCAGAGTTCCTCTTTTCTCCTCTGAACTCAGAGACTTGTTCCCAGTTGAACTATCACACATTACAAAACACCCACAACCAGTTTGGGAACTTTGCAGTCTGCAGCTGGAGACAAGACTTGAAATGTAATTGCTAACTCAGAACAAAAACCTGAAGGCACCTCTAAAATGCCTTCACAGTATCATTACTGGTTTCACCCCTTTATTTTCTGAATAAAAAAAAAGCAAAAAAGCCTCACCCCAACCAAAAACCCCAAATTTGCAACTTAAGGAATTATTAGGCAACTATTCTTCTACACGCTTTTTTTCCTCCTCTTCCTCCCTCAAAAGCACCTTACTAGGTTTGCAATAAAGCAACATAGTATCTTTCAAAGAAGAGTTATAAAACAAGATTGAGGTGAAGTTCTAACCCAGGGTTTAAAGTCTGAGTAAGTGTCTATAGTAAAAACCGCAGATTCTAGATAAAATCCATTTAGTGTGCGCTCAAACTCCCACCCAAAAAAACAAACAAACACTGTAACCCAAACAAACAAAATTTCAGCTCAAGTCAGGACTTGAACTGGGGGTTTACTGTAAATCAGGCAAAATGTTGTTCTTTGTTACAGCAAGAAACAGTACCACAATTATCTGTTTTTGCAAATATGGTATCAAATAAAAATATGCTTCTTTAAAGAAAGAGATTGCATTCCAGTTCCACTCCCCATACTATTTACAAGCATCAATAATAAATCTTGGAAAAGTACATGCAGGCATCACAACTGTCAGATACAATAAACAGAGAAGATAGTTGAGCTTCTTCTGATACAAGTATTGTTAATATTTATACTGTTAAACAAGAAATTGGTAATGCATCCAAAAGTGAAATGGAATAAAAATGGAATAAAATTTTATCAAATAAAATAAACCCTATTATTTCTCTGCAGACCTCAATGTGTATGTTAATTACTTTTTCTTTGGACATGGAAGGCTTTGGCTAAAGTTCGCAGTTCCTTCCTGGGACTCATCTGTAGGTAAAATACCGCTAAGGCTACCTAGGACAAGTCACACTGAAATACCCACTGTCTTTCCCTGAGACACCACAAACACTCACCAAGAAGGGTCTAAATAGTCTTAGACCTTCATGACCTGCTTCAGGTGCTAACCCAGAACCAATATAAACCTTACCCAGTAATGTATTCTTACTTGGTTTGCTCTTTCCAGAATGTCAATCAGCTCGGACGCAAACCTCCAGTCATTGCTCGTGACAAGTGTTACTGCCTCCCCGGAGCGCCTAAACGAGGAAGGAAACAACTGCTGACCCTCCAAACAACTCTGGCCAGGCTTGTGCTACCTAGGCAGTAATGAACTGTACCACAGGCAATATTACTGAGCTGATAGAAGTGGATTGAGCATTAACCCTGCACATGACAGAGAACAACTCTTCATAAAAATCAGAATACAGCAATTCACCTAAAATGGAGCAAATGCACACTTAATTTAGATTTTTAGATAATAAACATAGCATAATGGCAACATATTTAAGTATGAAGAGACACACATTCATATCATGATTAAATGAGAAAAATCACACTTGTACTAGCCTGGGAAAGCAGCATCCAAAAGAACTACCACTAAACTACACCACCATGATTGGCTGCAAACTTTGAGCCTACAGCTGCTTCTTTGCAATGTGCTGTCTAGAAAACTAAATAAATCAGCAGCTCATGAAGAGATAAACAAGGAAGTAACCCTCCAGAATATCAATGCACATTGCTTTTCTAATTGTTCCTCATATTTAAACCAGCTTTCAAACACTCTTGATTCAATAACAGAAAAGTGTGAGACTTGTTTGCCTTCAATTTAACACTGAACTCATTTAAAGACAAATCAGTGTGTTTCTAGAACATACTTTGATAGACTGAAGTCTTCACTCCCCCACCCCACATCATCTGCAGCCTCTAGAATTTGACAAGAAAAACACCTATGCAGTGCATAAAACATAACAAAACACTGATAATACATGACTGTTTTCTGCTAAACACCTACCCTGCTCTTCCAGTACGACCTACTCTGTGAACGTATTCTTCAATGTTGCGAGGGAAATCGAAGTTGAAAACATGAGTAATATCGTGCACATCGAGGCCACGGGATGCCAAGTCAGTAGCCACCAATATTCGAACTTTGCCTACAGTATGACAAGAAGAGAATGGGAGTTTATGGAACAAACAGAAAACATACTCCAGTCTATTGATTTTCTAGCTTATAATGCACTTAATCTTCTTAACACAAAGTAAAAATATGCTTGTTGAATGTCACACTGAGTTAGCTCCAAAAATGAAATGGTAAGTAAGCACCCAAAATGTCATTTTGCTATTATTTGCATTTCACAAGTAGAACAACAGAGTGCAGGAAAAGTAAGAAATATGCCTGGTTGATATAAAGAGTCTGTCCAAAGAACAAAAATGTCAACAACTATATTCTCAGCTGACACTCTTGTCACAGCATGAGTGTTTTATTAGCATGTGCTCATGTAACCCTGAATTGTGTTCACACCCTACTAGCATAATCTGGAGCAGGACTGTTTCACTGAAAGCACCATCATCTGACAATTAAATTTACCATTCTATAGACATACAATAAAAATTTTTCCAGAAATGTCAAAAGTAAAATAAGCCTTACTTTAAATTATTAAACTTCTAAACATTCAAAATTTTGTTGAAGAGAAATCTCTTTGTTTGCTGGTTTTTTTCTTTTTTTTTGTCAAATTAACAAAGAAAATGTATAATTCAGAGCTCTTTAATATTTTAATTTCTATAGTACTAAAGAGACATGACACTTAGAAATAGACAAGTTTTGAACAGAACAAACTTTAAAAGCCTGGCCTAAACAAACCAGTACTTCAGTATAAACTCACCTTTCTTGAAGTCATCCAAAGCCTGTTCTCGATCACATTGTTCCCTGTTGCCATGAAGTGACTGTACTGGAATTCCTTGGATACCAAAGTCACTTGCCAAGTCATCAGCTCTAGGGTGAAATAAAGCCATGGCTCTTAAAACAGAATTAAAAAAAGAAACGAAATAGTGCAGTATCTAGATTTAGATAAAAAAGACAGTAACGTGACAGCAAAAGCTAAATGTGTGCTTAAGGACAAAATGTTACCGAGGTCAGCTGATACTTATAAAACAGGAAAGCAAGTCTAATCCACATAGAAATGTTTACCTTTGTTTATACTTTAGAGGAATACTACATAATTTTTGTGTTGTTCACTCAAAAAGTTCAAGTATGATACAATGACCACCCCCACATTAATCAGGTCTTGCATGCACCAGAGGTGTATGAAAGTAAACAGCACATCACATTGATGTATCCCCAAGAATCCAAACATCCCACGTGAGCTACGTGAAACTGAGACTTACCACCACCATTAATGAGATTAAAAAAGATACAAACTGCCAGTCAGTCTGAAGGAAGAAATAAATAAATAATACTACTAGCAGCACATTGTGGAAAAGAGGTACTACACTTGATAGTTAATATGTAAACTAAGAAACTATTCAGTATTTCTGTTAGGAAAAAAACCCCAAACAGAGATGATACTGGGAAGTGATTACATACGTAAGCTTTTTGCCCACAAAAATGATGACCTTATCTTTTGGCTTCATAGACTTAATGAAGCTATGCATGAAAGCTCTCTTTTCCTCCTCGGGGATAACAATAACTTTTTGTTGTACTGTGCTTACTGCCTGTCAAACAGCAAAAAGGAATGTTAGGTAGAAACAGATTACAATAATATTTTTTTTCTGTTAATTCCCATATTGCCATGTTCTAAAACTAGTAATATATGATACCATAAAAAATTATTTTAATTTGTATCAGTTTGGAGTTCAAACAATGCAGATTTCTTATTTCCTCATTGCTTTAGGAGAATAATAAAATTTACCTTTAAGCAGTTTGCCAAACCATTTATTTGCAGAGATTTAAAGGGTACCAATTAGTGAAGTGAAAGAAATATATTTGGGAAAAACACATTTAAGTTCTTTAACTTGCTAATATTTTATGTTATTCCAGAGCAAGCTGGCAGTCTTACTTGAAATTACAGGTTTTTAAAGATGCTGTAAATCTCTTTGAAATGATCAGTTCTAACTATTCCAATAACAGTTCATTAAAAACTTTACTTCATTACCTCTGAAGGTTACCACAGAATATCTAAGGTATAATTAATAAGTAGGATAAAATGTCTAGACATTCTCATGGCATGGTATCCTCATCTTGTGGCAAGAGCTGAAGATTCAATTAAGTAGACAAAGATCCTCCCTCCACATGGGGACCCTTCTCCCCACCAGATGTCACCTCTTCAATTGGGAGAAGCTCCTGTATAAAGAGATTAATGCCCCAGGGAATAGAGCTACAAGAGCAGTTGATGTCTTTCAAATTCCAATCCTGACAAGAATTGCCCTTTGATAAAAGTGTAGTTCTGAACAGAACATAAAAAAGCACACTTTGTCTCTATTTCTACTGAAAAGTGTACTAGATATTAGGTTTCCTCATTCCCTATCACTAAAAAAAATGGAACCGAAAAGGAAAATTTCCTAAGATCTTGGGCAAACTACTGTTTCTGTAAATTCTTGCTGGTATTGAAGCCAACTACACACAGGTGCACAGCAATGACAAACCAGCAACTACACCCACATGTTAGAAGTTTTGGACTTTAAAGACAGTTCTTACTCTAACACATACTTCCTGCTATAGACAAGTGTCCTCCAAGAGTTTAGTACAAATCTCCCACTCCATTTGAGAAAGATGCAGTTAGGAAACACAAATTTAGATAAGGAGCTGTATGCCTTAGAAGGAAGATCTTCAGAAGGAAAACCAAATAAAGAACAAGAACTTGCTGAACTAAAATTAACGTTGCAAAACCAAGGGATCACACAAAAACATTTGGCACTGTGAAGTAGAACATTCAATATGATTGATACTCATCACCTGTTATGTCTTCTACTGAAGAGCTAAGACTTCCAGATGTTGTTACAGCAAACATGTTGGTTTATACTTTTTAAATTTTTCTGAACTTTTAAGGAAACTTTAAAACAAATAGCATGGAGGTGTTTCTTGAAAGCGCAGATTGATTACAAAAGATATGTGCATTTACTTACATACAGATAGTTACAAGTAAAACATTTCCTGGCTTAAACATAGGTTCTTCTACAAAAGGAAGGGGAAAAACCCAAAATGAACAGGACAACTTACTGCTAAGTCAAGAGTGCCGACATACACAATCATGGGATTTTTCAAGTAGGACTTTGCTAGGCGACGGACACCATCAGGCCAAGTAGCACTAAACAGGAAGTGAAGAGGAAAACACACACATGAGAATAGTGTGCCAAATCTTCTCCAATTCATTAATTTCATCATATTCTTCTTTTCTTTCCTTTCTTATGCACCAGTGAAACAGATATCAAGTAACAGTATAGAGTTTAACTAATCTTAAGTTAATAGTAAACAGCACTCGAGCTTAAAAGGTAATTTTGTCGGTTACAAGTACGGGCAACAATTATGGAACCCTTCTATTGAAGCCTCAGCTGAGTTTAGTAGTTGAACAATACCCAATAAGCAAGTTTCTAGTCTGTTTTCTAAAACAACAGCTTAAATGCAAAATACAGGAACAAAAATTATTGTTGGGATATTTGATTGTTAAGTACCCAAAAGCTGCATAATTTCAAAATTAATCTAGGTACAGACTAGCAGAGATACTGATCAGAAAGTCAGGAAATACTTTTGGTCCCAGATGGAGAACTGTAAGTTGGCATTTCAAATTGATACGGCAAATTCCAGCACTCCCAGGATACCTTCCATTTTTTGGGACAACTCAACTGTCCTTATATCTGATGCGAAAAATCCGAAAAGTCACCACAAAATGAAAAAAAAATTGTCAAATGACTCACCCGGACTGACTAGACCAAATTAGAAAGAAAACTAGTAAAAATTTTAGTAAATGAACACATTTGGTTTGAAATTAACTTGTTCAATAACAATTAACTTGTTCAGTAACCTTATGTTCAAGTCCTGAGCACTATCATGTTTAGATACCTTGTCATAACAGTTTGTCTGTCAGGACGCACATCAATTAGGATCTTCATTATCTGTGGTTCAAATCCCATATCCAGCATTCTGTCAGCCTCATCTAAAACCTGTTCAGAAACAAAGTTATTTATTCTGCCTAGTGCCTCAGATAAGAGTTTGTTTCAGCAGGAAATTACACAGAAAAAGATTTTAATGGTAACTGTTTTAATTGCAGAATCTTCTCCATAACTTACTGCAAGACCTGTTCAACTTCTATTCCACCTCTTCAATTTCCTTGACACTTTTTCATTCAGTATTATATTTGCAGGCAAAACAAGAAAATTCACAGTTTCTTTAAGACTATTTAAAGTCAATGAAAAAAAACAACTGTTTGTTTTACCAATAATTAGATTGATGGCTAAAACTAAGCACAAACTAGAAAAACCCCAAAAAACCCATAACCAACCAAACCCAGAGGGGAGCAACCTGCTCAACACATGTAAGAAACTGTTTGCAATTTGAAGGGGAAATCTCATTTCTACCTCATTAGAGAACTCATACAGGATCAAAATATCACTTGTCAATTTAGCTCCTCATTAGAAGTAGGAAAAAAGCCAGAGCATACATTCTGGAACACACTAGGATACTGCACAACTCCCAGAACACAAGCTTGTGTCATCTGGTAAAAAAAGCCAGAAGTAAACAAGTGAGCTGGAGCTCCGAGAAAAACTCTTTGGAACTAAAAAGTTTTCTAATATACAAGCACACTTGTGAATGTTTTCAGTCTCATACACAGAAAGAAGGCTGACATCTGAGACTCATTTATCTCCTTTGATTTATAGAAACTCTATTCGAAAATTAAAGTTACATGGATTGTGCTTTTAAGTATTGACAATTTTTAGTCACTTATGTGGAAATACAAGACATTGATGATAATCCCTTTCTAATGTCCTAATTTTGCTGCTCCATTATTCTCTGATATTTTATTATATTAAAGGGGTTTAGTACATTACTTATGCAAATCTCTGAAATAACCACAAATTATCAACTGAGAGACAAGACAAGAATTCTATTTCTTGATTTAATTCTCTTTATTTTTAGAGGGCTTATGGAGGTGTCATTAACTACATGAATTCTAATCGAATAGCAAGGCTGAAACATCACTGATTTTACATAAATAGTTGGTTGCTATGCCTTTTTCAGCAGTAGAAGCTTTCTATGCTATTAAGCTCACTGGCACTTTGCTACAGAGGGAAAAGGAAGCATCTGTGTCTAATAGATGGATCAGGTAGCTGAAATTTACTTTTCTTATTTCTGATAGATGCTTCACTATGATTAAAGGCTGTAATATATGTCAAATAGTTATTAGTACTGATTTTTTCCAATGTGTCACAGCCCCATCCTGGTTTATAAATTAAATGTCCTTCAATGGACATAATTTTAGGTTTTAAATATTTACATATTTCTCTATTTGTTAATAGTGTTCATTTTAGTGCTATTTCTTGGCAAGAAATTTTTACTTTTTTTTTGTATTGAAGAATAAAAAGCACTACTCCAATCTACCTTTTACATCCTCCTTCATGATTTATACATATACATTTTTAATCACACTTTCTCCTAAATGTTTCCCAATTATTCATGCACAATTCCAATTTCCTTCCTTCTGCTTTATCAGCCTGAAGTCCAAGGAATTAAGATTATTTCATCAGACTGCTGATGAATGAATACTGATTTACACTGAACACAGGGAAACAAAAAGCATATTTTCATATGACATGTATTTTGAACAATCAAAAGGCTGTTTATGACAGAATCTACAAACTTACTTCTGAAATACTGAAAAACATCAGCCAATCTTGAATAAATAGCTTCCTAAAAATCTGAATCAAGACTTGATCAACTTGGCGGTTCTGTCAGGCAAGAAGAGAAATTCTAACCTCAAATTCACCTTGGGTCCACTACCTAATTAACAGAGCCTGGTTTTGTCGTGTTGTTTTTCTTTTCTGGGGGGTGGTACATTTGGTTGGGTTTTAACAATTGTATCCCAGTATGATCTTGGAAGTCCTTTGGGAAACAACTGTATCACATCAGTAAGTAATACTCAGTTTACTTTGGGAACTTTCCTAAGACTCAGTAATATCTTTAAATGAAAACTGTAAATTAAGCTCTTCAATGAAGAGTGCTCTTCATGCAAGGTGGCAAATGTGAAATCTATTACCACTCTTTTTTTCCTAAAGCAAAGCTGCAAGATTAAATTATTTGTTGGCTGAAAACTCAAAATGAAGCTCTGAAAACAGAAAGCATCATACATATTGAAAAGCACAAGAAATAAGGATAGATATAGGAAGATCACAAAAAGATAGAATTTTTAATGTCCAATTTTTCACATGAGGCTTTGGTAGCACAGAATTTCCTTAAAGTCTGAGGCATGAGACCTTAACCACATCACAATACATGGTCCTTGCACTGGTTCTTCTGAAAGCATTTAACTGCTAGTGGTGCAACAAAAAAATGTCTCTCCTCCTGCTTCACATCACCATATGTTTCAATTTGATAGTTAATTCTTTTTAGCAATGTCATACTGCAGTATATGCTGCACATACTGAAACATGCTTTTGGTTCAATACCCATGGAACCAGTGTGTGCCTGTGGTATGACTATACTTCACCCTGGCAGAAAGGTGACCCATGTTCCTATAATCCTCACAATGCAGGTTTTCAGGCCTGTTTTCCTCCTGCTCAGCAATTACATGTTAGTCTTCTACAGAATGCTACTCTATTGTCTTCCTGCGATAAACTTTTTTCCCAAATGGCCAAATTTATAATGATGCTATACCACAGCTGGCCTTGCCAGTAAGCTCACAACTATCACTTAGAATTGGAGCTAACTTGTCAAAAAACTGAGAGAATTTAACTCTCACAGGGTAGTGGGGTGGACAGAGAGGATAGCCAAATTGTCAAACTAGGCAACAATTCACAGACAAGTTAGAAATAAATTGAATGCATGGAAGCATTTTACAAACAGCACTGGTCTTACCTGTTCAGCACAGGAAAAGGCAAAAATGAAATGAAGACAGAAGGATTATAATAATGTTTATAAGGCTGTTTTCCCACTGAGATCAAAAGAAAGTCAGTTCCCCAATATTTAAATATCTGTGTGTGACTCTGCTACCACACAAGTTCTAATACAAAAATTGAGACACTGGTAACCTTTAAAAAGAAAAGGAAAAGACAGCTTCAGAAAGGCATTTCATCCATTAGTAACTAATCCTGACAAAATGAATTGTAGAATGCCATTACTGAAAAAAAAAATTCAGCATCTTTAAAATGCTTGCTGTGCTAAAAGCCTATTTTTCCTAGGGAATATTTCACATCTGCAGTGCAATTACACTAAGTATGAATCATCCCTCCAACACCAATTTCAGTGTTAAGCTGTATTGTAATTAATGCTTTGGAAGTTTAAAAAAACTCCATTAAAGCTTAAATTCAAACTGAGTCAACCATTTCCCAGCTGGTGCATTACTCATTGCATATCAGTTACTTGCCAAATATGTTATGCTCTTCAAATTTATGAAGTTGTTCATTTGAAGATCATTCAGTCTGCCAGGAGTAGCAATAACAATATCCACACCTTTGGTAACCATGTCTATCTGTCCTTTCCGGTCCCCACCACCATAGACGCAAATACTGTAAAACAAAACAGTTTTACAGACATAGTGTATTAAATTTCAGCTGAAGTCAATCCATAAATGCCACCATGTTGCTTTATAAGTGTCACCTGATATTAACAAGTGGAAGGAATACAATAAGTGTGTTTGACAGTATTGCAGTAATTAATAAAATTAACACTTAATGACACTCCCTCAACAGTTCAGCAATAGCTTTCTGCTGAAACTGCAGTGAAAGTAATTGTGAAGGGAAGATAGCTCATATGTTTTGGGTTCTTCTGAAAATATTTATACAAAAAATAGATTAACATATGAAAGGATGCATGATTTTCCTAATAGTACCATCAAAAGTGAGACGTTTTGCTGTTGGGGTGACTGTAAAACTTATTCAGAGTGCTACACAAAGTTAACAGAGATCCCTAAAAGCAATTTTCAAAGCACAGTAATGTCTGTTTAATTGCTTAAATGAAGATCTACATTTAGCAGGTTTGTGGATGAAACCAAACTGAGGAAGGAGCTGATACACTCAGGAGAATTAGGTTTTTACCAGAAGAACCACAAAAAGGCTAGAGAAATGGGCTGATGAAAATACCATAAAGTTCAAAAAAACAACAACAACAAAAAAAGAGATTAAATATACCCCATGACTCAGGGCCAAAGTGCTAGAAGATGACATTACAAAAAGATTTGTGTGGGCTAGAACCTGAACATTATTCAGCAATGTAATCTCTTAGAAAAGAAAGCCAGGTGTGTTCTACGAGAAGGTAGCAATAGGAAGCATAAAAATAACATTGGCCCATTACAGGATGAGGATGGTCACCTCACAAAGAGGGACAAAGACTAGGCAGAGCTGTTTAACACATTCTTTGCCGCTGTCTTCAACACAGGTGATGCACCAAGGGGATTTCAGTGCCCTGAACTGGAGAACCACAACTGCCAGAATGATCCACTCTCAGCTGAGCTGCACATTATGCAGGATCTGCTGCTCCAGCTGAATTTCTACAGATCTATGGGGCATGATGGGATTTGTACCAAAATCCTCAAAGGGCTGGCTGATGTAATCGCAAAGTCTCTCAATGATTTTTGAGTGGTCTTTGGAATCCAGAAAGGTCCCTGATGAAGTTATAGAGAAGATTATTCTGGGAGGTAAGACAATGGCCACAGCCAGCAGCTCCATGACGGTGAAGTCCTGCTTGTCAAGCCTGACTTCCTTTTATGACAATGTAACCCACCATGATGATCAAGGGAAGCCAGCTGATGCAACCTGCTTGGATTTCAGTAAAGCTTTCTCAATACTACCTCTAACAGTATCCTTCTGGACAAAATGTCAAGCTCACAGCTGGATAAACACACCATGGGATGGGTTAGCCACTGGCTCACAGGTCAGGCATAAAAGGTTACAGTGAATGGGGTGACATCAGACTGGTGAGCTGTCACTAGAAGAGCCCCACAGGGCTCCATCTTTGGCCCTCATAACATCTTCATAAATGACTTGGAGGCAGGACTGGAAGAGGTACTAAGCAAGTTCACAGACAATACAAAACTAGGAAGAGCTGCTGACTCCCTCCAGAACAGGAAGGCCCCGCAGAGGGGCCTTGACAAATCAGATGACTGGGCAACTCCCAACCACATGAAGTTCAACAAGGGAAAGCGCTGGATTCTGCACCTGGGATGGGCAACCCTGGACATACAGACAGACTGGGTAATGGGATACTAGAAAGCAGTGCCATGGAAATGGACCTGGGGATCCTGGTCAATGCAAGTTGAACATGAGCCAGCAGTGCCATGGCAGCCAAAAGAGCCAACCCTGTCCTGGGGGCATCAGGCACAGCATCACCAGCCGGGCAAGGGAGGGGATTGTCCTGCTCTGCTCTGCACTGGGGCAGCCTCACCTCGAGTGCTGGGGGCAGTTCTGGGTGCCACAATAGAAGAAAAATATTAAACTATTAGAAAGTGTCCAAGGAGGGCAATAAAGATGGTGAAGGGCCTTGAGGGGAAGCTGTGAGGAGCAGCTGAGGGCACTGGGTCTGTTCAGCCTGGAGGAGACTGAGGGGAGACCTCACTGCAGTTACAGCTTCCTTGTGAGGGGAAGAGGAGGGGCAGGCACTGATCTCTGCTCTGTGGTGACCAGAGACAGGACCTGAGGGAATGGCCTGAAGCTGTGTCAGGCGAGTTTTAGTTTGGATATTAGAGAAAGGTTCTTCACTCAGAGGGTGGATAGGCTCTGGAACAGGCTCCAAAGGGAAGTGATCACAGCACCAGCCTGACGCAGTTCAAGTGTATGGACAACACTCTCAGTCACATGGTGTGACTCTTGGGGATGTCCTATGCAGGACTAAGAGCTGGACTTGGTGATCCTTGTTCCTTTCAAGTCAGCATATTCTGTGTAATTCTTCTTAGCTGTCAACTCAGAAGGAAAAGAAGCAGAAAAGCCACATAGACTTTGACCATGAGATTAGTCAAAACAGAAATTCTGAAAACTGGGAAAATATAAACTCTGCATTTACTACTATCTCCTCCCCTCTTAAATGCAATTATTGTAGTAGTTGAATTAAGTCATAACTGGTAGGCAAAAAAAGATATTATTTAACCAGCCAGTGAAAAGCAAGACTACCTTTTAATTCCTTTGTATGCATACTTTGAACACTCTGCCTCTACTTGAAGTGCCAGTTCTCTAGTGGGAGCAAGAACTAACATTCCAGGTCCCCCACGCTGATCTTTGGATCTGCAACAAAGCATATTTAGAATGTTGGTATATAAGGATGGGCGAAGTCCATCATGCTTGACACTGAACATTTTTATACTGTTCTAGGCTTCCTCTGTAAACTGCTGCTAATGGAATCTATGGTGACAAATTTGGTGCTTATTCCATCAGATTTATATATTTTTTTTTTAATACGACTTTTATCTTCATTACTAGAAAATCATCTCAGGAGCGGGGTGCAGGAGGAAGTAAGTGCAGGGGGAAGTATGCACAGCTAAACAAATCAGACCTGTGAGCAGTCCTTACATTGGTTGTGAAGTCAAGTGAATGAATCCAGGCATTAAGTATGCTAATGTCTTCCCAGTACCAGTCTGCGCTATACCAATAAGATCAATTCCTTGGAGTATAATTGGCCATGCCTGGGACTAACATAAAACAACAAATACTTAAATGTAGACTTCATTTTTCTCTTAAGGTTCAGTTAAAGAGTCATCGAAATGGAAGACATACCTGAATTGGTGTAGGCTTTTGAAAACCAACTTTTCTTATATTTGCCATAATATCAGGATAATGCTCAAATACATCTTCAAATTTACAAACAGGATTGGGAATGCAGCGCTTTTCACCTTCTTTCAAGTCATCACAAGTTATATCATTATTTTCTTTCCTGTATAAAGTAGTGCAATTGTTTTAAAGTCTCACTATCTGAAAAATTAGAGCTAACATAAAATACTGTGTTTCTTAACTTTTTTTGAACTTGTTGAACAAGAAAAAACAAGTTCAGGCTCTTGAATGGGACTGAATTAGTCTTCTATCTTTCTTAAATGTCCTTCTACAGGAACACTTCTCCCAGAGGTATCAATTACCATTTTTTCTTAAGAATGACTAATTTGAAGTTATATATGGTTATTAATACGAACTGCATTCCTATCAGGCTACAATTATACCTGATTACAAATTAAGTAGGTATGACTAGTTTTTAAAGCCAAAGACAACCCAGAATTCAGATGAATATCTTCACTTTATCAGTCAGAATTCTATATTCTGACAAAAGCCTCCCCCAACTGTTTTCAGAGCAGCCACCTGGATGCTCTGGAGAATACCAACAGAACAATTTTGGAAAAAGAACATGACCAGTAAGACAAGCTCCAAAAAACCCCTGGAACAACAAGTCCCTAAAAGCTGGCAAAACCCAAATCACAACACATATAAAAGACTATATTAAAAACTGCTGTTCCAAGGCTTCCTCCAATTTAGAGCTATTAATATGCTGTCCTAGTTTCAGCCAAGGGCAGAGTTAATTTTCTCCCACTGGCAGTGAGGGGAGCTAGAAGCCACGTGGGCATGCCTACATTGTTACTCTGTATCACCCAAATCATCATTGAGGGGTGAAGGGGATTTTCACTTTCCAGGAGAAAGAGGGTGTGGTTTCCTGTGGAAGAAAAAGACAATGACCCTCCATGGCCATTTTGTTCCCTTTCCCAGGAGAGTAAACAGGGATTGGAGAGGTGAGGTGGTGTGGATGGTCTGACCAGCGGGGCTTGGCGTTGTCGTTTTTTGTTATCTCAGACTTGGGGAAAAAACCATGGACATGGACAGCTTCATCCACCATTTTCTCCTTTGTCTCAGGAGCTGCATGGTGCCAGGTGTGGTGGTGTCATGTTGGTCAGACTTCCATGAGCATTTTTGCATGCAATCACCTTTTATACAATGTTTTTATTAGTGTTGTTGCTGTTTTACGTATCTCATTGATGTTTTCCAGTAAATTCTTATCTCAATCCATAATCTCTTCCTTTTGTCCCTCTCACACCAGAGGGAGTGAGGGAAGCAGAGTGGCTGCTTGGAGCTTAATTTCCATCTGGTTTTAAACCATGACATCTGCATAAGCATATTGATTTCAGTCCTGTACTCCTCTAAAGACTCTATTCAGTAAAAAGCTTTTCTTCAAATGGGGTGTAAGCTAGGAAAAGAATGAGCAATTCAACTTCCCCTCATGTTTACAGAATTATGTCTTTCAGTTGCTGCCTTTTTTTCCTTAAAGCAAACTGATTAGATGAAGTAGAAAAAAAAAATTGCATTATTACACAATTTCTATTTCTCAGTACATATTTTTAACCTACAAGAACAATGTTCTGTAATTTTCACTAGCTCTAACAACAACACATCCATATACTTTAAGGGAAAAGGTGAAAGCATCTGGAAACAATTCCATGCTTTGCTCACTGTGGCAAAGTTTCTCTGGCATGCAAAGAAAAAAAGACATCTTGCAAAAAGAAAAGCAGTAATGCTCACTAACTTCATTAGAATACTAAAGAGGGCTGTAACTATTACCAAGGCCTGAACCAAATCACTTGAAAGAGATGATCTGTTTTCCTTGCAAGGTACTGATAAAGGTTGTTGGATCAAAATAAAGAGATGCAGTTAACTGAAGCATGTACTCACCAGGATGTGCTTGTAAAAACAAGACAGATAAAAAAGGAAGACAACAGTAACAAAAGTTGGAATTTGGTTTGAAAATAGTTTTGACTAAAAAAATGCAGGGAAAAAATTGCAGCCAAAAGGTATTCAATCTGTGAACAATCCCATTTGGAAGGACCTAGAAAATGTGAACATACTGTCTCATGAAAGGCAAAGAAACAGCCAAAAGTCAGTGAACTGTTATGAATTTTTTCTGTTCTGAAATTCAACTAAATCGAAGATTTTTAGAGAAGCAGAAAATCCCTGAAGTTAATTTTCCAGACAACTAATAATCTCATCTGCCAGTTGTTTCATTCCCAAGAAAGAATTCTTAAAAACATTAAGTTGCTACAAGACCCCAGCATTAGCGCCTCTGTTTCAGTATGTAATCTCCCACTTTCTAGGCTTTACAGTTTAATAGTGATTTTTGCCAAGCAGATGATTCCCGAAAGAAATGATCTTACCGCCACAGTTCCACTTCTTCTTGTGACATAGATGCAGTCCTGGGCGATTCTTTGTAGAAGTTTTTCTCAATTGGAGGCAAGCCTTAAACAATCAGAAAAATCCAAGTTGAATCAGCAAGAAATAATACAGAGTCAGTGTACATCTGCTAAAGCTTAAGATGGAAAGCCCAGGACCCAGAAAGTGCCTTGAGCCAGAAGACTATGTAATGGAAAGCCATTGCTCATGTAAAAACATGAAGGCTGAGACAAACACTTCAATATTTGCAAAAAACCCACTCCCCACATTTAAGGTTCTGAAGTAATATCTACTAACATATACAGTAGTATATTTGACAAATCCTAGTTTGTAGGTTTTTTTGTTTTTTTTTTTTTTTTTTTTTTTTTCCTGGTGGCCACATAGAAAACAGCACCATTTTCAAAAGGTGACATGGAAAATACCACACGAGTAAGCAGGTTTAACTCTAGGCACAGTAATCAGTATCCTCCACGACCATGTTGAGAAATGCTAACACGGCCAGCTCACTGCAAATACTTCACTAATTTGGGCTCTGAAAGATTCAGTCATCTGAAAGCAAGTATTAGAAACATTTAACCATTCCAACAGATTTACCACATAAACACAAGTATAATACAATCAAAATTGTAAAACTAACCTGCCCACTTCATAGATTCATATTTGGCCCTGTTTTCTCGAAGAGAAGCCCAGTTAATCACTGGTTTCTTTGGGTTATTTTCAGGCTTAATGATGTCCAAGGTTTTTCCTGCAGAGTTAGTAACAAAATGCTGCTCTTTGATGGAACAAACCATGGGGAGAAATCTCCCCTCAAAACAAACATGTGTTTTCTATTGCAAGGCCTCATACATTTTAAATAGACATGAAACATATATATAAGTGGAAAATTATTTCCTAGATCTCTGCCCTGAAATATTGCTAAAATGTGTACAAATTCAGTTTTGATAAAAAAAGGGAAACATTTCAACATCTTGGCTACTTAAAGGGAGCAATGCCAGGGCATGAAATGCTTCTCCTCCAGCTATAAACTAGGTTTGTTGTGCAGCAAGGTTTTGAAAAACTTGTGAAACCAGTAGATGATACACAGAGAGAAAGCTTTAACAGCTAGAAGAGCAAAGCTCAGGTCTAAAGCATCCAACAACACCACAATAAAGTCTCAGTCTAGTTATATTCTATACTTCTTTTTTGATGAGGTTAACACTTCTTAAGTAAGTGCAGTTTAACCTGAAGATATAAATAGCAACAGAGTTGTGTGGAAAATTAGTGGAAAGGCAGGAAACATAGGGATAACACTGTCAAAATCCTAAGGTCGTTTTAAATATTTCTTGTCTCTTGAAACATACTCATCCACCTTCTGTGACACTTCTGAAAAGGAAACACACAACTACTCCAGTCCTTATTCTAATGCTGGAACATAATTCCTGGATCCCTTCTTCCCTATCAGTGCATCAGATCAGCAATTGTGGATGGTGTTTGCCTGTGCAAAAAATTATTGGGAGCACATACAAGACATACCAACAATATAAGCAGCATCCAAATGTACAAAAATTATTTCTATATCCATGTAAGAAAGCTAGCACAGGAAAGCCTAGTAAAGCCAGGCATGAAGTGCAACATCAAATCTTAAGACATGAACATCCCTTGAAAGTAGGAGGAAGTCAGCATGGCCCATGCTATGATCAGCACTTTACAGACTACCTTTACAAAGGTTTACTGAATTGTAATACTCCACAGATACCAGATTAAAACTTGCACTAGAGCCAATACTGTTATTTTGGAGGAATCAGACTGATAATGCAAGAACCAAAGTGGTGTAACATTCTGCATCCATAAAATTGTTGCAAACACACAGGAACTAGCTTTCACGGAATCCTGGCAGTTTGGTGGGAGCAGGAAACTTTCCATAGCTGAAAAAAGGAGGATATCTTGGTATTTCTGTTTTAAGAAGATGCCATTGCCCAAGAACAAGGTTGAAATTAACTTACTTCTTAAGATACTAACAATATAAAAACACTCCAGCAAACTACCAAACATATGGAATACAATCCATAATATTTTTTCCCCCAGCCCCACATACCTTTCTCTGTCCCACCTCTAACATAGTTTTGTCCAGGACTTGTAATAATATTGTCAATCAACATCTTGGCTTTGTTTTGCACATCAAGGCTGCCAAAAATCTTTACTTCAGATTCATAGGTTCCTCTTGTAACCTATGTTCAAAAACATCACTGAGTTTTTTTTTTCCATACTGCAAAGACAAACATTATACAAGAACACATACTGAAAACAATTTTTGATCTTTTGTTCCCTGAAGTTCAACTTGTTCTATGAAAAAGCCCTTTAATCCCTTTTCCAAAAGAGAAGGAAATAAATGCACACTTAAGGAAAAAAAAAACAAAACACAATAACCTTTTCCTATTTTCACATAACATCCAAGTTGCACCCTCAATTCCACTTCTTTTCCATCAATTGCAAAACAGTGGCATTATTACTATATATTATTAGCTATTGTAACACCCTTCAACTTCCTCCAACTGGTTTACGCAGAAACAAAACCAAGTACGTTCCCAACAGAGCCCATTTCTTGACAACATACAGCACATGGTACCTTTATCCTGGAACCCGAAGAATCCTCAAGTTCTTTAATTTTAGCTCCACCCCTACCTGTTATAAAGATACACAGCAGGTATTACAGAGACTTAGGACAAACTGCCCAAACCTACACATTAATTGTACGTATTTTGTTTGTGACCAAACCCCGAGACTTTCATGAGTGCATGTATCTACAAATAAAAGAACTTTTAACACCAAACTGCTGGAGACTGTAGGTAACTCTTTTGTCAATTAATCAAATGCAAGGTTTGTGTGTAGGGGAATGCCCTTCAGTAGGAGTAAAACTAGATCAAGAGATTGTCACCCTTCCTGCGTGTGACTAGAGGGGCTTCAGAACACTTGCACACTGCTGGCCTTGAGAAACAGACATCAACTCAATCTCTTTAGGGTTGAAAAGTTTCTCTGGCGAGTGGCAGAAACTCTGCAAAAGCAGCCTGCCATGCCCAGGTGGAGAGGGAGACGCACGGGAACAGCGAGGGGCTCTTCCCCGGCCAGACTGACGGAAGGCAGGGATGCATTCCCTCAGGGAACTGGGAGGGACCGGCTCCTCCCCACCCGCTTCCCTCAGCGGGTCAGGCACGCGTCATTACCTATGAGAGCCCCGACCAGGGCGCTATCCAGGTGGAAGCAGAGCGGCGCCTCAGAGTCCCGAGCCTGGCCGGCCGCAGCTCGGGGCCGCCGCTGCCGCGCCGCCCGCCTCAGGCCGCCGGAGCCTTCAGCGCCTCGCGGCTCCCACCCTTCCCCTCCGGGACTCCCCGTGCCCTTCCCCCGGCGCCCGTCGCCCTCCACGGAGGCGCGGCCCCACGGAGGGGTGCTGGGCGACCAGCAGAGCGGCCCGGCAGCAGCGGCCCGCGGCCAGTCCGGCGCGCCCAGCTCCTCGTCGCTGCTCGCGTCCCAGTCCGACATGGCCGCCTCACCCGGCTCGGCCGCCCATGCGGAGGGGCTTGGCGCGTCTCAAGCCCGGGCTGCGCTGATTGGCCGGGGCGGGTCCCTCTCTGAGCTGTGATTGGCTGGCTCCGCACGGGGGCGGAGGCTCTATGGCTGTCCCTGCCGAGTCTTAGAGGGATGGCGGGGTCGGTTGGGTTGGGAAGGGGCTGTGGTAGCATCGAGTCCGAGCCGTGATCCAGCACTGCCTTGTCAAACGGACCGTGGCACTGAGTGTTTGAGACCATGCCGTGTGCAGTGTTTCCTTAAGCACTTTGGGTATGGTGGCACCCCTGCTCCCTGGGCAGCCTGTTCCAATGCCTGCTCACTCTTTCTGTGAAGAACTCTTCCTAATGTGCAGTCTAAACCCGCCCTGGCACACTTTAGGACTGTGTCCTCTTGACCTGTCACTGGGAGAAGAGGCTGACCCCCACCTGGCATCAGCCTCCTGTCAGGCAGTTGTACAGAGCCATGAGGGCCTCCCTGAACTTCCTTTGCTTCAGGATAAGCAACCGCTGCTCCCTCAGCTGCTCCCCACAGGACTTGTGCTCCAGACCCTTTGCCAGCCTTGCCCTTCTCTGGACTCGCTCCAGCACCTTTGTGTCTTTCCTGCGGTGAGGGGCCCAGAAATGGAGAGAGGACTCGAGGTGTGGCCTCACCAGTGCTGAGTACTAGAGGGACAATCACTGCTCAGGTCCTGCTGGCCGCATTATTGCTGATATTTTCTGATTTTTGTCTCTCCCTGCTCCTCTGCCAGCAGAGGGTGACCCTGGGTTGGGCATAGCTGAGGAAGAGGAGGAGGCAGCAGAGGCAAGAACGTAGTTGAGAACATGTGGGAAGCCCCCAAAGTCTGTAGGGTGGAGGGGGAAGGCAGGCAGCCTCAGGGAGGCAAGGGAGTGAGGATGGCACTGTGTAATTTTGCCAGGTGCCCAGGCTGCTGTCATGCTGATATATTGCAGTCTGATTTTTTAAGCTAAGTCATAATACTTAATCCCAAATGAAGCCTTAATGATGCTTTAATGAAGCTTTTATGTTCAGTGTGACTCAACGTACTGAAGCTGGAATACAATACTGGAAGCAGAATCACAGAACGGCTGAGCTTGAAGGCCTCTGGGGGCCATCTGGTGCAACCCTTTGCTCAAGCGAGGACACCAAGAGCCAGTTGCCAAGGTGGCCTGTGGCTTTCTCCAAGGACAGAGATTCCACAGCCTCCCTGGGTAAACTGTGTCAGTGCTTTGTTACCTTCACTGTGAAAAAAATAGAGAAAACCAAATGAAAAGTAAAAAGAGCTAACATACCCCATACCCCTTCAATTACACTAAAAAAATGCTAAATGGGTGTTTACATTTCCTTGTTAGGTAGGGTCCTGGATTCTTATTGTACAGAGCTGAACATGGAACATTTATGCATGTGTCTTCAGGGATACATATCACCACCTGTGCCTAGTTGTGGCAATCTGCCAGGTAAATCAACATTAAAAACTACTCTGCTGTCTTCTGACCCTTCCCTAACAGCTCTGTGCACACAGGAAGCAAGGCTGCCTGGTTTAGCAGCAGAAGAGAATGTGCACATTTGCTTCTTTTTCTGTCCTGTGTTTGTTCTTAGGCAGAGCTTGGTAGTGTTCACATTGGCTGACATGGAAAACCTCCCTTTCTGACAATCACAGCTTTAAATTTCAGTATCTTAAGATGATGTTCATCACAGAGGCTGGGGATCACCTGCACATTGAGCTGTCTGGGCCCCATCTTGAAGCCTCCACAAAGGCAGTGACTTCATTCACCACAAGAAAAGGCTCTCTCTATTTAGTATTTTACACTCAAACAGTGAAGCTTGTCTTCAGCCAGGCTGTAGGAAGAGCCTACCACGGCAAAAGCAGGCGTGTTGCAAATGAGTGGTTCAGGTTTGGTGTGGTAACCTTCTGTAGCAACTTTCATGGTCAAATGCAGAAGAAATGGCTTCACCTAGGCCTCAGGTTAAACTGAGACGACACATGTGCCTTCCATGAGAAATCCTGCTCCCTACAGAGGTCCCCGATTGCCAATACTGAATCCATTGCCCTTTATCAAACAGGGAAGGTAGCAATAACTTCCAAGCTCATTTTCATAAAGGAGCTGCAGCATTAAGAGAAAGTAAACTGCTGTAAACATTTACCAGAAACTAAATATGTCGGACTGGTTTCTGCACATTTTATTCTAATAAACTTCCTTTGTGGTGTTTTGGTCCACTTACTAAAAAATTACAAAACTTCAAAAGGAAAACAATGAGCAAGCTTAATTGTTTTTTCTTGTCTGATATGTGGTCACACCATGCAATCTTTTATATAAGGAAAAAACTCAGTAGTCACAGTACTTTTCAAGTCATTTTTATTAACAACAATATGGATTCAACTTTGTCAAGAATTTACAATTAGCATTGTAATGTACTGGCTAATGTTGCAGTGTCAGTGGAAGCAGCCATCGTGCTTTCTAAGCCTGCTACAAAACTTTCTTTTTGTCTTTCAAAGAAGTCAAAAACGCTTCCAATAGCAGATGACATTGGATATGTCGAATTGTCCTGTGTGTGGCCACAGCTGAATGAATGGCCACATTTGCATCCAGATGAATGGATAGGAAAATATTAAATATTACATGCTTCCACTGACGTTGCAGGGGACAAATCTTATTTCAAAAACAAATTAATCTTTTTAGACAGTGACAGCACATTGTGTGATGTTATAATCCATTTGAATAAAGTCAATTAACACACCTGAAAAAAAATGTGAAGCAGAAATACCTGGGACAAATTCTTTTCCGTATTTCATTCAAACCCAGTGAATCCAAAAGGATTGCATGACATATAAGTCAGGATAAAAGTTGGCCCAGAGAGGCAAGTTCATTTCTGGTACAGGTGGTTCAGTTCCTGTAAGGTCAATGGAACTGAGTCTGATAATCCCAATGGAGGCTGAGCTTCACCCAGTTGGGCAGTGAATTCATTGAAGTCAGTGAAGCCATCCAAGGATGAATTTATCCTCGGGTGTTCAAACCCTTTTTTCCTCCATTCCTTTGCTGTTATATTTTCTTTTCCTGCTTATTCCTACTTTCTGAATATTCTGATTTTCTCTGTGCTTTTAAAAAAATGTCCCTTCTCTCCTTCCCTTTTTATATCAGTACTTTGTGCGTTGCTTTTTATATAGTCAATGTGACAAGGGTAAAGTCAGCTAAGTATTAGTTTCCTCAGGAAATAACTGGAATATTACCATTTTCACTTCAAACAGATGCCCAACAAAATTAGGATTTGAATCTGAGTTCCCAATTCAAGAAAAATTCTTGAATTTCATAGAATGAATGAATTCCATAGAATTTTTGCTTGATTAAGGATTGCAGGTCCCAATCCAGAAATACTACTGTACATCAGATGTTCTACTATACATTAGCAATTCAGCATGATTTGACTTATCACAGAAAAGCAGGTGAATTACTCATCACCATACTGTAATGAGAGCAGTCACTCTAAGTAGGAGTATCTCAAAAACATATGGAACAACTGTGGGCACTGTAAATAAAAGTGTATGATCTTTGCAATCTTGAACCCTAGGCTAAAACATCATATTCATATTTAAATAAAAAGTATAGATCATATAAGCCAGGAGCAAATACAAATTTTTTAACAAATAATAGTCAATGAAACCATTCTTTTCAGCTCTCTCTTCATTCAGGTAGAAGAACATGCTGACCAGAAAACAGTTATTTAAATAAGGCTTAAGTCCTGAAGCTCTTAATTAATTTCAACTTCTCTCTTCAAACAATTCTCAAGTGGATTGTAAATCAGAAAAAAAATTCTTTGTCCTGACTCATGAACAATTCTTATTAGTTGTCATGAGCTGGACTTTAATAAGGAGCTCAGGACAAGACTTGAAAAGCCAGACAGGCCCTTCTTTTGTGAAACCAATAAATAACTGTCAGTCATGACACTGTCTTTTAAAGAGAGAGCATAGTAACTCCTCATGAGGAAATATGAGTAAAGCTTATAAAAGTCCAAACAAACAATTCTTCCTCTTTAAAATTTCATATATTCACTACTCTTTCTATTTTCTATCAATATTATGTTAAAAAACCCTATATGATAAGACTTGCATCTACAAAAATAATAATAATGGTGAGCTTAAAAGAAAAAAAAATTAGAATTTTAAACCTTAATTTGAAAAGATACGATCTTCTGGGTTTATCAGTACTTTGTAAAGACATTAATATTTTCATACATAATTTATAGAACTCATTCTTTTGTGCACAAAATTGTATTAAATAAATTAACTTAAAGTTAGAAGGACTCAAGCATCTCATTTAAGGCAAAAATACCAAGTTTCCGTGAGATAAATTATCAACAAACCCCAAGGCCCTGTTTCTGTGCAGAATAGGGACAGGCAGGGCCTTTGCTCAGTTCTCCCATCGATGCCTTCCGGGTGCAATGGGGGTGCAACCATCTGCCCCTGCAGATGAAGGTGGAAGAGTGGTGTCCAATTTATGATGCCTTGGATTTTCGGTCTCGTCAAGGAGGGGAAGGGAGTTTCACTATGGACACACAGTTGCCGTGTGCCCAATCGCTTGCTCCTTAACTGAACCTAACGGCACATTGATGCTTAGGTCAGCAGGAGGCTTCACATGAAAGGCAAGAAAGGCACCATAAACAGGAAAAAGGAAAAAATAGCCTAAAAAACTATTATAATTTTTAAATTTTCAATACTTTAAACTTACATATCTGTCTGGATAAGCTGCAGACATTCAAATAAGTTAAAAATTAAGTGAATTGAGATGTGGAAAAAAATGTATTTATCCTCACAAAATTGCTGTTGTAATCAGGCTTCGGTATGGTCAGATTGCACATAAAGGGAAACAGGAAAGGCTGAATATGGTGAACTATATGGCAAATCAGCGGTGAGGAAATTGTGCTTCAAGGTGTCTTTCAGGATTTAACAACTGAAGTTTGCTCCGGCATAAGCCATGGAACACAGTGTACCATCCATGGACCCCGTATAATGACACAATATATACACTCTACAGTTTGCACGTACTTTCACATAATAAAGTTCTCATGTAACATCCAGGAATACTTCTGTAAAGCAAATGGAAGCATAAGTTACAATGGTTTCATAGTAAACAGATCAGCTCCTTCACAATACAATCTACAGCATTTAGCCACAGTTAAGACTGGAGTGATGTTTTGATGTACATAGCGAGTTCCCAGCGGGTCTGGGCCTTGAGAAAACACTGCCCTGAGTGAGCTGGCACTGGCACACCCATACATTCGGTATTCCTGCTGCTAGAGGGAAGCTGAGCCCAAGCTGGGTTGTCTACAAGCCTGTGGTGCAGGTGGGGTGACAATCTGGCAGGAGGCAAGACAGAAACCTCATTCAGCTGGGAAGAGTGAAAGCCGGTTTCGGCTCTGCAAGGGTTCTCCCAGTGGCAAAGCCTTGCTGGGGATGTGCAGGCAGGCACTAACACTGCTCCTGCACCTCAGCAGAAGTGAAGTGTAGGCTAGAGTAAGAAAAAAAAAGAGGATGCATCAGGCAGGAATGCTCAGTCTGATACAGGCTTTGAATTTGAAAACTTGGGTTTTAGCAGGAAGGAGTCTGTGAGTCCTGTGTTGGAAAGTTCACAAGAAATTACTGTAATTGGGACACAGTGTTGAGCTAAGAGTGGGATCATTTTCCCTCTCTCCTCTTCCTCTTTTATTAAAAAAGCAACAAGCCCTTGCCTTTTTTTTTTTTTTTTTTTTTTTTTTTTTTAGTTAAGGTGGCTTTCTCTACTTCTATTTCTGTTTCTGATTGCCTGCATGTTTTTTTTTTTTAATTTTTAAAAAATTTTTTAAATAACACTCAGTATCTGTGAGGAAAAAAAAAGTAACTTTTTCCTTCTTCACCTTTCTTGTTTTATTTTATGGGATGATTTCCCTTCCTGCCCATCTAAATCCATATTATTATTTACTTATTTTCCTATTGATTGTGTTGTCTTTCTCCCTTCTGTTCTGTCCTCTTTAGTTTTACTCTGTATTTCAGTTCCTCATTTTCCTTTCTTGCCCAGCCTTATGAAAGTGCTGTTGTAGTATCAGGCTGGGACTGCAAGGAAAATTGCCAAAATTTTCACAAGAAGGAAATATTGCTTCTACAATAAAGGCAGCACCTGCTTCCTTCCCTCACCTACTGCTGCCAAAATGGTTCAGATTCACAAGTCAGCTTCTCAATGAAACTAGAAGGAGAGATTCACTTGAATTTTCGGTGCAGTCCCCTATGTTATTCACTTCTGAGGCCAGACCCAATCCTTAAAATACAAACCTTTTGTAACAAAATAGTTCTTGTTATAAAGAACAATGTGACAGTGGTGTGTCAGCTACTTCTGCCACAGCACTAGATCACCAAAAATCAGGTATTAACGTACTGTTCCTCAGAGCTAAAAATAACTGATTACTGATGAGTTAATGTGTGTATCTTGCAACTGGCAGCCATTTCTAACCCCATGTTACTCATTTCCTTGGTACCTTGCTAGCAGCTGTAGATAATCTTTTTGTTGTAAACATAAACTATCATCTAAATCAGGACATTATATATATATATATTTATTCAGTTCAGAAGCAAAGTGCTTTAAACCTTAAGATTTTTACTTCTGCCCCATAGAAACAGCACAAGGTCTAAATGCTCAAATTTTTGTTTTTTGATACATCCTGCAGCATTAGCTTTGTAGGCAACTCATTATTTAAACCTACTGTACTACATGAAAGGCTGCTGTACTGTAGGTATAAATTTGGATGTTAGCCATTGCTTAGACATGCTTTTTCATGCAACTAGGAAATATGGGCTCATTCAACTGCTTTGCAGATTCATCCTGATTTTTGTGATTTTATCTTATTAAAAAGGCTTTCAAAACAGTTCATGCTATGATATGTATGACTAGAGGAATGACCCAGCCAATGAAGAAAGCCAGAAGTTACTTAAGTTTGACATGGAGCAGATTGAGTGCTTCTGTACCATCCCCTGGCTTGCAGATGTTTTGAGATGATCTTGATATTCCAGTCCTTAGAGAGTCAGCAGAGAGAGTTGTTTCCACTAATGGGCGTGAGATGGCTTCAGTAGTCTCTGTCCCTGCCTCTGTCTCCAACTCTTCATCCGTTATAAATAATTTTGACTCCCTCCATTTGGAGTATACATCTTGGCTACCTCTGGAACCACTGGAGTCACTGCCAGCAATCTGTATATTCAGTTCTTCTGTTGACTGTATAAGGTTTTGTACAGATAAAGATTTTCCTAAATCCATTTGCACTACAGGTTTAACTGAGAGCAAATGTTCCCCTTCTGTATCCAGACTTTTTCTCCATGTGAGATCCTTTGTTGCACTGGGTTGTGCAACTTGTCCATTATCCTTTGATGCAACAAGGCAAGCGGTGACATTAGAAATATTTTCCTGTGTGGTTACAGGAATAATATGAATGGGCTCAGGCCTATTGATATGCTTCATCGATGAGAAGGGTGGTATTTGTAATGTTGTCGGAGTTGCTGGCTTACTTGTCTGGTTTATTTGGTTTGATGCATTATTAACTGTTGCAGGTCCATCATTTGGCACTTGTGTTGCTTGACTATGCATAGCTGGACTAAAAGCATAGTAAGCCTGAGTGCTAAATTCATTTGGTGTCAGTATAAGCTGTAGGCCACGAGGCAGATTGGCACTAGCTGATCTGGATACACATCCACTAAGTTGTGCAGAGTTAGACAAATCTTTGCTGTCTGATGGACTCTGATAATCAGAAGTCTGCTCACACTCGAAAGCTGGCATTTGAAATGAAGCCAAAGTGAGCGCGGATGCAGATCCTTTTCGCAGAACTTGTTGATAAATATCTAATAGACAGTCCAGTTTTGATTCAATGGATTGTACCTATACGAGAGGAAAAGGTCAACATTAGTGCCAAATACTAATTTAAAATATCTGGAACCCAAGCAAAAGGAAAATGTAACTGCTGAAGAGAAAAATGGAAGTAGCTTGGTGTACGTTATTGACCCTTGAAAAAGAATGTCAGAAGCCGTGTATATTTTTCATAGGCAAGCTGAGAAAAGGGGAGAAGAGGTTAAGGTAATAAGATGCATATAATTTTTACTTCAATGTATAAATGAAGCAGACACTAGAAAACAATATAAAATTAACCTGTTCAGCTTTTGAAACGGGCAATAAAACATAGAAAAGGCATGAGCAATAAAGCAAGACAGAGTAACACAGATAATCACTCTACCTGTTTCTCCACTTTGACTACCCGCCCTAACATACTGACATCATCAGTTGTCTCATGCTCTGCAGGATTCTTCTCTCTGCTTCTTTTATCTGCTGTGATTTGTCCTTTCCCAAGAATTTGGTCAACGCTGTAAGAGAAACCAAAAGCTGTTGCCATTCATGGAACTGGCATAAATGTGGAAGTGTTTGCTATATATATATATATATATATATATATATATATATATGTTAAAAATAAAAAAATCACAGTACTTCAGGAAAGCACTCAAAGAAGAAGACAAACAATTTTATTAATGAAGGGAAATGAAGAAGAAGAAAAAAAAAAAGGAGTGATTTTTGAGCATATTAGACTGCTTTTCTTTTTTGTTGGCACTATCCAGGAGCCAGAATTTAGCCATTATCTGGGAAAGCCAAGACTAGACTTGCTGAAAGGGGGAAAGAAGAGGTGGCCTCTCCAACAGCTTGATATTATGCAGAAACAAACATCCCAGTGCCACTCCCAGCTCTCCCATCCTAACAACAACATCCACTCCTGGGAGAGTTGTCAGTTTGTATGATGTATGATGTAATGTTGTTTAGTTTGGCTTTTTAATTACTGTTGCTGGGAATCTCTAACATAAAAACTACATAAATTGTACATTACCAGTAGTTCTCAATTTCTTTTCTGTGAAAAGAGGAAGTATGGGATGGGAAAGAGGCAGTTCTCAATGTCTTCCTCAGCCTTTTGACTAAAGTCCTTGTTTACAAATGGACTTTACAGATAAAGGATTACCTTTTCTATTCTTCAGACTTCCATTTTCTGAGAAAAATTTGGATACATGTTTTTATGTTTGGTTTTGCCCACAATTCAATTTCTGGCTCAGCTGTGTTCACAGAAAGAGAGGCTGTGTAACACAGAAATGTTAAACGTTGCCAATATGCTTTGTGCAGTGAATGACATTAGATGCTTATGCAGAGTGTAACTAATTCTTTCCTTACCGTGACTGAAGACTCTTAATCCTGCACAACATGTCTAGGTGACCTGCTGAATACTGTTCAATGACATCTTTGACATCATATGGGCGAAGCGTTTCCTTAAACTTTCTCTTTGCAACATGAAACTTCATAATTCTGTGGGGGAAAAGCATTTTATACATTAATTTTCAACAGCTGTGGAACCATAGGTATATTTCACTGACAAAATTTGATAGCTCATTTTTAAATGGAAGGTATTTTCAATACAGCTTGTGCAGGTAAACTTTCACATGGTTGTTTTTTTAAGTACAAATGCACTGTAGCTATGTCTTTGAATTGTTTGAGAGGTCAGGTAACACTGTTTTAAAGACTGCAGAGCAGGTTTAGTGTATCAGTATATACCTGTTCAACTTTTTTATGCTAGGTGCTTGATATGAAAGGTATGCCTGACTTAAACCTGGGATTAGTTTCACTGACTTGAGTGAGATATCATATCAGCTATATTTGTGCATAAGATACTTCTGCTCTTGTTACAGGAAAGATTTCTTTAGTGAATCGATTACACAAACTTAAATAACAGTATTCTTGTTCTGGTGTTCATTTTAAGTTCCTTGCTCTTCTCTTTGTGGGAAGAAAATAAAAAAGCACCCCATTAAGTTTTCATCAGTTTTTATTTTTTAGTTAACATTCAGGCATAAATATTTGTTTTCAACTTATTTGGCTGACTTAGGATCAAATTTTGCAGGCTGAAGAGAAGTTTTCATGTTTGTTCCCTACTGGAATATATAGGAATTATTGCTTAGTTAGACTTCATGATTTTTTCCTTGAACTTTACTGCACAACAGTAAGGTTTCAGGTAACAGTAAATATCCAAAATTGATGAATGGTATACATGTTTTTATCTGAGTCTTGCACAGGTTTCTGTGATATGTGACATGAACATATGATGTCTCCTGAGTAGCTGTTCTTAGAATAGAAAGCTTGATATAAAATCACAAATTTTCAACAATAAAAATGACAAATTTGGAAAGTAAATGACAGTGAGATGATTTTCCTGGTCAGCCGGTAGAACCTGAAATTTTCCTTGGTTTACATAAGGACTGGGAGAGAAAACAAGGGATCAGGTGTATTAGCCATGCTGGCCTGTGCTGCAGAGCTTATGAATTCCCATTAGGGCCAAAGTGCTGATATTTGCTACCTATTGCAACTGAAAAAGCAGAGACTGTAAATTGGTATCCTATCCCAAATGTCAGTAGTCATGATAATATATTCCCTCTGGGTTTATTATGATATGTATTTAGCAGCTGTAAGACAACAAATTATAATAAAAACCAAAACATGGTTCTCACTCTCTGATAAAAATAGATTTTTGATGTTTTAGTGGAATTTAAAAAAGTCATTCTTCATATAGTTAGGACAGATATTATGATAATAGGTATGTAGAGTTGCATTGATAGTATATGGTGATCCTCTACTGGTTTTTGGATCATACATAAATATTCTTAAAGATAATGTCAGCCTCTTCTCACAGTACTTAGCTTGTTGGTATTTCCCATTCTGGTGACTTTCACTTAAAAATGAGATTGCTTGTCACTGGTATAGAACTTGAACTATGATTCTGATTATAGAAATTAAAAATGGAAAAGGCCTGTTAGGAGCAGTCCATCAACTTGACACTTCAGGACTGATCTCCACGCACTTTCGAATATATTATATTGGATCATGGGCTTTTCTCTTTTGCCTTACCAGCTAGTTCTACAGACCAATGGCTTTTGGTATATTTTGTAATCTGGAAGCCTGTAAAGCTGTGATGAATCTGGGATACAGATTTTTTTTTTTTTTTAGCTGTCAAATGATGCCAAGATGTTGGTTTATAGGACCATGAATACCTAATCTTCTGAATCTAGTTCTTTATTGAGTTACGAAGACTGAATAATGCAGCTGACATATAAAATAGTATAATAGTTTTGTTGTTACTATTATTATGTTTCAGTGGTCACAATGTTTTACTTCATGCATTTAATAAAGTAAAAATATGAAACTCTATTAGAAAAGAAAAACCAGACGATTATTGGCATAATTGAAGACAACTGAATTTACCACAACTGGGTGATTTTACAAGGGAAGAGGCAGAGGACTAATTATTATTAAGAACCATGGAAGCGTCTTAATCAGTTAGCAGAAAAGTCTTCATTACTACTTTGCAGCTTTATAACACTTTTTTTGCTTATCAAGACAGTTTGTTCATAATGTTCAGAAGTCAAACAGAATTGAAAGCACCACAGCTGTATCTGTACTACACTACAGTGAGCTGTACCTGTACTATTTCTGGTTTATGTATTAGCTCATGTGAGTCCATCTTAATTAACTTCAGCAGGGTTTGGAGCAGATCTATATTGCTTACTTCTTTTTGTTCAAGCACACAAAATTTTACATAAACTGTACAGAAAATATTGCGCTGTCATTTTAAAAGCCTGCAAGTTAATTAAGAAAAAGAAAAACTGAATCCTTTCAGTGATGGAGCCTTGCAACGGCTTTGCAATTATTAAATTGGGTTGAATCTCCATAGTTATTTAGTGTTTTATAAAATCAGTTGGCATCCTGTATCTTGATATCACAATGTAATTAACTTTCTTTACTGTGAGGGTGGTAAGGCTCTGGAACAGATCACGCAGGGAAGTTGTGGATGCCCCTGGCATCCCTGGCAGAGTTCAAGGCCACGGTGGATGGGGCTTGGAGCAAGCTGGTCTCAAGACCCAAACAACCTTGGAGCGAGCGAGTGGGAGATGTCCCTGCCCATAGCAGGGTGATCGAACTAAATGGTTGTTACGGTCGCTTTTACCCAAACCATCGCATGATTCCACATATTTCGGTAGGTTACTGATAGATTATGTACAACTAAGTGGACTCTGAGTTCCTGTGGGATAAAAACAAAGCTATTTGCAGGTAACCTGACCGTGCAAAAAGGGGAAAAAGCACCGAGTCACGCACCCGCGGTTTTTCGCAGCAGCGGCCGCGGGCGCGGACGGGAGGGGCGGGGCGGGCCGGCGCGGGCCGCCCTTCCCCGCGGCACCAGCAGGGGGCGAACACGGCCCGGCACCGGCGCCGCCGCTGAGGGCGGGGCCGTGCAGGCCCCGCGGCTGTGGGAAACTTCCCCTGCCTGTTTAAATCGCTCTACGCCATCCAGGAAAGGGGCATTTTATAACTCACATCTAATGTGACAGACGATACGCGGTTGTAAACACACCCAAGCCACAAGCATGACAGTGTTCTGGTAAGAGTTAGTCATAAAAAGTAGCTTATTTCAGTCATACATCCAGAGGAGCAGAAAAAAAAAAATCTGTTGAAGCAGACCAATACATAAAAGTTAAATAATAGCTAAACCACAGGTCCCACTGATCTTTATGTACCCTGATGATTTATGGAAAGTTACAGGTCCAATACCAACTTTTGTCTTACTGACCCACAGCGGCCAAGAGCAGCACGTTTCATTTATCTCTTCTCAGATGCAGGATCAGCCTTGCTCTAAAATTACAGCGTTTTCTGTACGTGCATGTTGCATATCTTCCCTGGTATTCACTGCATTGTAATTTGCGTTCATGATGCCTGTTCCAGTATTAAAAGCTGTTTTGCTTGTCATTTAGTACACTTTCCTGAGGGTGGCACCAAGTTAGAGCATCTCTAATCCTTGGTGCAGCCCTGTCAAACTCATGCCATTATTTTCAAAGCTGTGTCTTGTCAGTTTTGTCATAATCTCAGGAAGAAACAGAGCTTCATTCTACCGGGATTCAGGTAGAATCATATATGGTTACTGCCTTGAATATTAAAAGACAGGTAGGTTGCTTTATCCATAGCCAGATGGGGTGACCACAGGTTTGCTCACCTACAACATCAGGAAAGCAGGTGCATAGAGATTTAGCTGTGCTGGTGCCTCTGTCTCACTACCCTGACCTTGCCAAACATCCCTTCTTCCTGGTAAAATGTAATGTGCAGAAGAGATCAGGATCCAGCACAGAGGCCAGCAGACAAAGGTATTTGAGACACAGTTCTACTACATGTGAGGCAAGTGAGTCAAAATCGTCTTCTCTGTCGTGTCTCGACCTGACTCATCCCCTAGCAGCCAGAAACATGATTTTCCCCTAAGTACAGCGCTGTCCTAGCCAAACACATGTACAAGAGCCTTGCCTAGGCTCTGAATACCATCTGGCAGAAAATAAACAATGTGTTTGGATTTAAAAGAAAGAGGGGGTTCTGAAATAATACATTGAACAAATTCAAAATGGCTACTAAAAATACATTTTATAGGTGTTGCAGGAACATTGTAAAGACTGAACATAAATGGTAAATTATATTTTCCATCTTTGTCTGTTAAATATGTATGACTGTTCAACTATACAGCTTATCAGCTCTAGAATTCTCAAATTTCATTACATTTAGCCACAGTTATTATTTTTTTTTTCTTAGCAACAAATGAAAACATATCTTTGCAATCGCTAGAGTTAAAGAGAGAAAAGACCTATTAGGTCAGTACTTTAATCTTCCTGCCATTGCAGTTATTTTCTATTGCATATTTATTTGTGCTTCTCAAATCTCATATTCCATAAATAGTACAGTAATTCCATCATTTCCATGTGGAAAGTATTATTGAAATGAGTGCTTCTTGCTATGGAAAATGATCAGAGATATCACAATATAGGGAAACAAGGTATCCTAATCTTCCTTTTAGTCTCTTTTATACACATTCATCATTGTGAACTAACAGAGCTGGAAAAGGCAATGTTTTTTGTTAGTCTCCAGGAACTCTGCAGGATGTTTTTGTTCACAACAAGACTGGGACGGTTGAGTAGTGCTGAAGACCCTGCTGGCACACAGACTCAGTTCGTTGTTAGCAAGGACTGCTTTGTGCACTGCTCTGATCCCGGCTGGAGGCCATGGATGAGCAGGACTGATCCTGAGTGGGCCCAAGGCGTGCTGCAGTGCACACCATGTTTCACCACACTGCCCTTCTGCTCCCTGTCACCCAACACTGTGCATCGAGAAGCTTTTCCTTACTTTCCCTGTGCCTCAGTTGATCTTTCCTGACAGAGAGCTTGAGGAGTAAGAGGGGATGGAGCAGGCAGCACACGAGATAAAAGACTCAGTTTAGGAGGCTTTGAGAGCAGATTGAGAGCTTGGCATGTTACCAGACAGGTTTGCCTGGTGGGTCTTCAGTAGGACTAGTTGAGAGTCCTGACTTTTTTGGAAAGGACCAAAATGTTGAGAACTTTTTCAGGAAAGGACTGTTTTCTCCATCCTCTGTTTTGACTGTAACAAAATGAAAGTTTGGGGGTTTGTTTGCTTAAAAAGTTGCTTTGAAGAATAAAGTAGCCCTGGAGAAAATGTAAGTAAATAAGGTCAAAAGTGACACAGTAGACTTTGAAATGACCAATATGAAAAATTATAAATAAAACAGTTTTTGTCTTTTGATATTTCAAGGCTGTGCAACCTGAGAGTAAGCATATTTTAGGCACCTTGCACAGAAAAAAATCTCACCCCAAATGCTTTGATTCCAAAACTGAGAGAGGACCGACCTCTGTAAACCCATGGGCATGAATTAATTTTGTTAATTTCATTTCCCATTAAAACAAAAGGGCCATTTGTGTCTTTGTAAAAGAATTTTTACCCAGGTCTAACTAGGAAAAAATAATTAGACTCCCTTATAGCAGTTTTTCAAGTTGATGCATCAAGAATGGATTCAACTGTCTGTGTTTATATTTGGGGTCTTTTCTTAGTGCATCATAAAACTATGCAAGTGTCTTCTGTCTTTGACTGCTTCTATATACCAGCATGAAAGGAAACCAGCCTTCACCCTCCCCCACTGCCTTTGCAATTCAAAGCTGTTTCTAAAAACAAACTTCAAAATGAGGCACAAAGTTTCCATATAGGCAGATGCTATCATCTTGAAATTCTACAGTTACTTTATAGAGTCTCAGATCCTTCTTCAGATGTTTGCATAGATCCCAGTGTAGTCTGGTAACAGATACTCTGAATAATCAGAAAGAGGTGTATCAGCTACCTGATGAACTGAATTATCAGTCTCTTGATTTTGAGAGATTAAAGTATAGCATATACAGAAGTCTCAAGATCATGGCATATTACTGCTTTACAGGTGTCAAACAAAGGTAAGTTTCTGAAGCAAGATGTGTGTCACTTGTGATCTTGCAAAACACTAAAATTTGCAGGGAGATGGGAGAGATTCATGGCTAATTGATGGCAAGTGGAGATTCTTACTCTCAGCCTCAGTGGTGACATGAGTTGTTTTTAGAAGGCCAGGCATGCAGAGTAAAAGTTGGAGGTAATATAAAAATTTGATTCTCATCAATTAAATAGTACATGTCTGAAATAATCAAATCTTGCACCTTTGCTTTTCTTATTAGAACATTTTTGTGGAGAAAATTTCCCAACTATATCCTTCACATTTAGTTATTTTCCATTTGAGCTGATAATGACCAAGAGCACCAAACAAAAATGCAGATGATGCATTGAACAATCCAGTGGTCCCCTAGAAAATGAGCTCCATGAAGTAAGTATTGAAATGTGAAGTCTATCTTAAGGAATTTGGACAGTATGGAGAATGAATATCCCTTGCCAGGATAAGTGGCAACATGCACCTGGAGCCAAGAGTTATCCAGTCTGTTTAAAATGCAACATCACAGAGAAACATCTTTGACACTAAAGTCAATGAATTATGCTGACTGTTCCTAATATGAGCATTTTTTATTTGAGGGAACAGGCTTGCCTTGTGGGTGGGTGTGTGAAAAAAGGCATCTATCACCTGCTTAAACATTGCTAGCAAGAGATGGTTTTCAGCAGAGACATTTGGCTTGCCAGTTGCAGTGGCTGTGGACACAAGCCTGGTATCTGAATCGTCCTGTGAGGTCATTTCCAGGCAGGTTGGAAAATAGTAGGAAAAGATGTCTCCAAATGATCTATCAAGCTCTCTGTGCTAGTAGAAAAGTTTCAGAAACAGCCTTACTCACTATCTCTCTTTATTTTACTCAATGGAAAAGGGGAAGGAAATACAAGTAGCCCATAGGTTATCATTGCATGAAATTATGTGATAAAAAGCTCAAGTTTTTTTTTTCCTGTGATGCTGAGAAAACTCAGGCAGAGGTTTCTGTACAGGAAAACACTGTCTTTCCATAGGTTTTTGCAGAAATTCCTTTTGGCTGCTGCCTGTCTGTCTGCACCAAGAAGGTGCTGGACACTGATGTGATGCAGAGCCAGTGAGGTGACCCCCAGCGATAACCTGAGGTTTGCTGCCAGCAGACAGGGAATGCTTGAGCTCTCCTTGCTTGTTGCTGTACACTTCATGGTGGGGATTTTGACTGCCAGGATTTATACTTAAAAATACTCTGGAAGATAAATAGCCTTGGCAGTCTCAAGAGGATGAGTTTAAACTTTCAATGCAGGTAACTTTATAAGTTTCAATGCAGTTTGCTACTTTCTTGGAAAAGGAGACTATTTGTTTTAAATTATTTGGGTTATATTTAGTTTAGTGGATAGTAGTAGGCACGACTTTTCACAATTGAATTAATGTAATTATTCTGTTCTTACCAGGAGAAATTTGCAATAAAAGTCATCTGACAGTCTCAGGAATATGGAAATGCAATAAAACCCTACACTTTTAAAGGAAATAACTTTTCCAGGCAAAGTGACACATACTCAGTAAAAGTACATCAAATTGTAGTTTGGATAGCATAAAATATAATGGAAAACAGCATCCATTACTCTCTTTCTCTTTTCTGTGTCAAATCATGTAACATTTTTAGATATTGAAAAGCTGATAACAACTGATAAAATGTTTTAATTTAACTAAAATAGAAAGGAAGCATAATATATTAGCATTAGTTGTGTAACAAATATAGCCATGTAATAAGTGCAACAAACTATCATTTTATGAATGGACACGCAGTTTATTAGTATCTGAACTAAAGGAAATTCAAGCATTTATTAATTCAGTATTTTCTACTCACCTGATAGCTCTAATGACAGTTTTAAGAGCAGGGGTGAGATCTTCTACCGACACATCACACTGGCACCCTTTGTCATCATAAACATCGTCTGTTCCAAGACTGGTGTCAGCTGAAAAAGACAAGAGCAGACTAAATAAGAGAAATTGAAAAATCTCTTCCTTAGTGTTTTCTAACAGCCTGCACAGTGCTTCTGGGAAAAGAAGGACTACGTATCAAGCATGATAGACCTCCACCAGTTTATGAACTGTATGATGCACTTGTGTGTGTCTATGCCTGTGTCATAGAATGCCTTGGTAGTCCCAGAGTAATTAGTAAAACTTAGAAAGGAAGAATGCCCTATTATTTTTCAAATGAATTAGTAGCTGAATACCAGAGTGTTTATTTCTGATATCCCATGGTTTTTCATCACATTCTCTGTTTTATGAGAAAGCAGTGAACTGACAGATGTAATGGCAGAACCAGAAGATGCTCAAGTTGTATTATTACAGTTTTAACACTTTGGATCAACCTGGCATTTGGACAAGGAGAAGATCCATTTCATTTAACAAGCAGGCTGTGGAATGACCCAACACTTTATTACAGGTGAAAATAAACAAAATACTCTTTTACCAAGAATGAACAATTGCCACCTTAAACCTCAGAGCCATGTAGCTATTGCCGGCTTCCTTTGTCACAGGAGCTTAAGCCAAGTTACTGTAAAAAAAAAGTGGATCGTTTACATTTCCTAAACACCACCTCTGCACAGTTGCCATCTGTGAATTAGCTAGAAATCTCAGAAGTGTCCATTGTACTCAATACATAAAACAGGTACTGATGCATGACTAAGTGGTTTACAAGCTTAAAATGTGCTGGAGTGCAAATGGAGCAAGAAGGGCAGGGTCATGGATGCCCATACATCATCTATATTTCAAAGGCACGTGAACTACAGGAAAATTCTTTGGGGTCGGTGCTTTTCCTCCCAAATCATCTTTCTTCAACTGCATAAAGTCCAAGTGCCCAGAAGAATTTCACTCAAGGTCAGTGTATTTCATCATGTAAGTGTCTCTGCTTCATGAGGAAGAGAGTGTAAAATGAGTGACATGAAACAGAGAAAAAAAGATGAGACTCAGTAACCCTCAGTAACAGAGTAGATTTCTTCCCAGTCTTAGGTTGCTGCCTACATTCATGCTGTTATTTAAAACAACAGGTTTAGTCATTCAGAAACACTTCAAGTAAATAATTTCATGGGTCTAAATTATTAGCAGATTTGAAGCACAGTCAGACACAAATGATTACAGGACATTCTTTCAAATTCCTTCTTCAGGAAGGCTGCAGATTAAAGATGAAAAATATTATTTGTCAGTCAAAAGTGCCTGAAAATGTCATGGTACCTTCTAAATCTAATAGAGATAAACTGTTTTGTACAGCATCTTCAGGAACTGGTGTTACTGCATTGTTTTCTTCAGAGATTTAATGTTCAGCCATGCACATTTTTTGGTTGGGTTTTTTTTTTTTTTTTTTTTTTTTTTTTTATATATTTTATTTTTTGCCTTTCCTTTTTTTTTTTTGGTTTTTTTTTTTTTTTTTTTTTTTTTTTTTTTTTAATGAGTCTGGCTAGTTCATTACCCTTGGGAACATATATATTTTTTTGTTACTCTTGCTGAACTGGTACATTTATGAGAAACATCCGTAGCTTTTAATAACAGGTGAATTCATCTTTGACAGATCAACTTAATAAAGAAAGATGGCTTATAGCCAATGTTTAAGTCCACATGAAACAATCAAATGCAACAATTAAAAATTAAGTTTTAAACTGTCAAAGTGAAATTTTCATACAAAACTTTGAAGTGCTATTACTTTAAGTCATGACTGCAATGATGCCAGGAGTATTTTTTTCTTGTACTCTTTCATGAGCTTCACTCCTGACTTCGCTTATCTTATTGATAAAATATACATCTCTCCACCCATTCTGCTTCAATAACATTTGGATCCCTGCCCAGAAATGTGACTAGCTAAAATAAACTTTATATACACTACCTAAACCACCATCTCAGGACATGCTGAGTATTCCACAACACTAACTTTCCAGGTGTGACATCTGATCAGGCTCTCCAGTTACCTCTCCCAGTGTGGAAATCTCCCAGCTCATTTATAAGTGCCATATTAAAACCAGAGCTTTTTATGCTACTGGTATTTCCAATGACTCTCTAAGGTTTGATTCTATTCAGTTATGCCAGTATAAATTAGGAAAAATACTGCTCAGATCACAAGAGCTATAGCTGTCTAAACCCAGTGAAACAGGAGACTCCAACCTGAAAGTTTAGAATAAACATGTTTCTGTATGGTTGTCTCATGGATACGGTTCCTGGGTCCTTTGCCAAGTACAGTGTCATTAATAAAAGGGTTTCCTTACCAAAGTATATCTTTGCAAAACTGTTTTGAGAACTGTGTGGTGCAATTACAGTGTTTCATGTTGCTCCCTTGTGGATAAAAAACTCTGCAAAATTTTTAGACAGGCGCTGGAAAATTCTTATAAATTTAAGCCAGCTTTAATAGGAGATGCTGCTCCTAATAAATCACCTTTCTTCTTTCTAATATTCCACTGATATGAATTTCCTTCATTATGGCAGGCACTCAATACCACAGGTCAGTGAAGCTTGTGAAAAGTTATAGCCTTGTTTGATTCCTATGGGAAACATAAATGTTTCTTTAGGATACTGAGCAGACCTGGGAAAAAGTTTGGGAAATGCATAGTAGCAATTTGGAGAAAAAATTACAGCTTAAAACACCACTGAAATCAAAGTTCACATTCTTACGAATTTTTCCAGTGGAAGCTCATGTTGTGTACCACATAGTTACGAGGTGAGATGTACTTGTGTACTTGTGAGATCCTTTCTGTCCCTCTTGAGTTCATCGTTGAGGTCAGGGCTGAGTTGGGGTCAGTTTGGCTGCTTTAGCAGCTCCAGCTGTTCAAACCTCTGCCAGCTCCCAGATGGGGCTAAGCTATGCTCTCCAAGCTGCTGTCTGTCCCCAGAGAGAGCCCTTCCTAGGCATTAATAGGGCAGCTAGACCTCCCAGTGCCAGCTCATGCCTATCCCTGCTCACATCCGCATCATTCCCCATTCCCTTTGTCTGTATCTTTTGCTCTCCATTGGGATGGCTGCACATGGTCCAAGTGGGTTCCATGAGGAACTGTGGGCAGCAGCTGCTCTGCATGAGCCTGGCTTTGCTGCCAGTCTTTCCTAGAGTTAGCCCCCGTCTCTCCTTCTCTCCAGGAACCTCTACCACAAGCTAACCAACTTTCAAGTCTGTTCCACGGGCATGGAATATGGCCTAAACAATGCCTAAAATGTCTTTTAGTACACATTTAGACAAACCCCTGCATGTCTCTTTAAGAAGGGCTGTCAGTCCACTTTACAATCCAGACCTTTTTCTAATACCAGCATATTTAGAACTCAGTATGTGTTTTGATCTTAAACAAAGAACGTGTTTATTTCACAACTGATGAGGCATCTGCCATTGTCTTATAATCTTTGACATTATTTACTTTGGGCTACTGTCTGATTTTTGCTGCTTTTTAATTTCGTCCTCTTTCTTCCCAAACAATCTTTGATTTAATCACACAGCAAAACAGCAATTACCAAGAAATAGAAGAGGCATGCACAAGCCAGTAAAATTTTCTTGATATTTCCCTGTTTTTCACAGTATTTATGCATTTTTCATGCAAATTTTAGTCATCTATGATCACCACAAATGAATGGGCAAAAAAATTAGGCTGTTCTAAAGCATTATATGTCACCAACAAAAAAAATTACAAGTTTGTAGCTGCATTTCATATGACTCTGTGCAAAAGTTATTCACAAGGCTTGATTTATTATTTCTGTAAATAGTATGTGTCCTTTCTTAGAAGTGTTTTCTGTTGTTTAATAACATGCTTTGGCATTGAGAAAACTGACATTGCTCTGATCACTCTCATAGCTCCTTGCTTTCAGTGTCAGTAACATTCAAGTAATTATCTGCCTGTTAAACAGAATAAAAAAGACTTTTTACTTTTTGTTTTCTGGGAGCATCAATATGCTAGCAACAACAATCCAGCATTAATAAATGTGTGTGCCAACACAATGAATAATGCTATGGAGGTGCTTCTGACATAGCGACTGGTACGATGATCCCAACATAGACCTTTTGACTCAATTTTTAGAAGCCTTCAGAAGCACTTAGATCTTACTGTGACTGTGCAAGAGATAGATAGGGTTCTTCATGGGAGTGATAGAAATAATAGACAACCCACCTTCTCACAGAAACCACCTCTGTGCCCGCCCCCACTACCAAGAACCAGGCCATGAAAACCAATACAATATGGAAAAATCTCAATAAATGCCTGAAGTTGATAGCCTGCATATGACTTGCAGTTATTCTTGTTAGAGCACAGTATTGTGTTGACTTGGTTAAAAACACGCTCGTTTGGAAAAAATGTCTGATTGATTTTCATGACGCAAGATGAAAATTGGAGGGTGGCCTAATTTTCACAGGTGCTGAGTTACTTCAAGCCATATTGTTATAAAAATTGAGAATTGGAGTTAGGAATTGAAGTCCAAACAATTCATAATGCTGCTCCACAGCCTGTTCTCCACCTTGCTTAGCAGCCTCATGTGAGTGGAGAGTTTCTCTGGCTGCCCAGGGCAGCAGTGCAGGGCACCCCAATGTGACACACTCATCTCGACATTCATTTTCTGTGTGAGCGGTCAGAAAGAAAATGAGTGGGTAATTCAGTGCATCTAACTTCTAAGCAAGTGAACTTGGACATGAATTCAAAACTTTTGGGGGACAGACTGTCCCTGTGGGAGGTGCCAGTGCATAGGTCTGCTGCAGCAGGGGAGTCCAAGCAGCTGCTTTGTTATGAGACTCCAAGCTGCCTGAGTCTTACATGGCTACTGAGCTCAGATGAACCCTCTCACTCAAGAAGCAATGCCAGCAGCTTAATACTCTCATTGCCTCCTTTGTGAGCAAATAGAGCCTCTGCTGTGCTGCTGTATATAATGCCTAGGGTGTCTGCAAGGTTGGTGTATTTCACTCAACTTTACCCTGCCTTTGAAGTACCTTTCTTCACTATGAGTATTTACTGTGTTA